AGCAGAAATGAAAAAATTCAACTTTTAAAAATTACCCTTTACACTGCAATCATAGATTTGTACAAAATATCATTTGTTTTGTTTCTTCAAGTAAATGGGAAAGCTGTGTTTTTTTAAATCATTAACAAATGTTGTTGCCTAAGCAATGGCACTAAATTTCATTCCGAGCAAAAGAAAGCCATTTATAATTTAAAGTTTATCTGATATATATAGAAAAAGGGGCTTGGTGGGTATTGACATAATATTCCATGATATTTTTTTTAAATCTTAATTTTGCCTTGATTTTGAGTCTTTATTTTAGGCAGTCCACGTAAGAATTCATAATTCTTATTTGATAATTATGTCATTATTGATTCCCAACCACCTTGAACTAACGAGAGAGAGAAGCATTCGGATTCTTTTATTTGAAATCAAATGTGTTTTCGTCTATAACTCAACAGTCTTTAAACTTACAGATTTGTTTATTTTATACTTTTTCATTCAAAATGTATATGCCAACAAAAAAGTATGTAAAATAAAAGGCTATACAATTATGTAAAAGGGGTCATATTGTGATCGAAAGTCACAGTTTTCTGAAATATTGACAGAACCGTTAAATCCACGTGAAACCCGTTTATAAAAGTGAATGTTTCTTCCCTTAGCCAAAAATATAATTTAAATTCAACTAATTTTATTAATCAAATACTATTTTATTAAATGTCATGGAAATGTATGTTGTGGAAATATTTTATCACAATTAGCTGAAATTTGTTTTAAAAACAACTTCTATTTATTTTAAGCTTAATCTCCCAGATTATTTGCTAAACCTTTGACTGCGCAAAAATGTGCAAAAATAGCACAAATTATTAGCAAAAGAAATTTTACCACCGTTACAAATCAATCTATAATTCTTGAAGTATCTATACATGAAACAAAAAATTTCAATTTTATCCTTGTCCTTGCAGAGTTTAGAGGATAAACATTCAAGAGTCTAGCTGAGAAAACTACTCATAAAGAGCTAGATTGACATCATAAATAAACTGTAACCCAATATCAAAAAGATTACCGTTGGAAATCGTGTATGGTCAATCTTAACAGGGGCTAAACAGGAGTTAGTCCATTGGGGAGAAGGGGGGTTGGGTGGAGTTTCTAACCCTTTTTCTTCACATATACTGACACTGGGTTGAACCCCCCTCCGTTGTAAAATCGTGTATGGTCAATCTTAACAGGGGCTAAACAGGAGTTAGTCCATTGGGAAGAAGGGGGGTTGGGGTTTCTAACCCTTTTCTTTACAGATACTTACACTGGGCTAAACCCCCCCCCCCCCCTGGAGGAAGCTTTCCAAAAAACCCTGCTTTTCAACATAGGAAAATACAGGATTTAGTGTATTTTGGAGGGGGAGACTTTCTAATCTTTCTTATTTATTTCTCGAGCTCATTCACACCTTCTAAACACCCCTGATCTTTTAATTATATCTCATGCTAAGAACGTTTTTATTCATGTAAGTTCAAGCAAAGATTACTGTTATTATAAATTTTTAATGTAATGGAAAACACTTTAAATCCGACAGAATTCAAGATCCTGACAGGCTGTGACTTTTGAAGTGTAAACGGTTTGGTTTTACTTTACTAACTTGTTTATACATTTTTGTTGCCCTCACGCAGAATTAAGGACTCCCCAGAGAACTGTGACTTTCGATTACAATTTTGCCAATTAAACATAAAATTTTCGTTTTTTCCGTTTTGACGTTTTTGTCAGCATATGCCCTATAAAACAAAATGTAAAAAATGACAACTCCGTGAGCTTTAAGATTGTTGAATTATAGACCCAACATGTGATTAAATTCAAATAGAAGAAACCGAATGCATCTCGCCCTGGTTAGTTCGGGGTGCCTTGCGAGGGAGGGGGTGCAGAGGCGCCATGATCCCNGTATTCTCGAGTAACACAGATTGGCAGCTGCCTTTGGTTCACTGTGTGGCCACTACAGATAAATATTGGTCAAGTTAGTACAGGGTTAACCATAAAAAATGAGACTTCAGAGACGACTGTTCAGAATTTATACTGTCTATTTCTTTATATATAATCATAATTCCCTGCAACTGTACACTTGTTTCTTTATTTGCTAAATCATTTAATAAGCGAATAAAAGACTTTATTTAAGTCGGAAGACTTAATTAATCGAACTTTGGGAATTATGGTATTTTCTGAGTTTTAGGTTTACAGTCTTATACTTTGTGGGTAACCCTGTACATAAGCAAATGCCTCATTTCTATTTATTTTGATGCTTGTTTAAACGTGTTAAAAGTGGTATTCCTGGGATTAAGGTTTTCATGATTACATTCATTAGAGGTTTACCACTCAAAACTGTTGTTTTTATATTCTTTCTTGTTTTTCAAGACTAAAGGGAGTCTTCAGCATTCAAGTTCACCGAATAACCCCAGATTTTTGGAAAATACTTAAGTCAAAATTTACACTCAATAATTTTTCTGTGGGTCAAATTAACCAATACATTTGGTCAAAAACAGGGTGCACATTTGTACACCAAATTGATATCTCTCTAAACTGCAAATAAACAAGGCTTTTTTTAAATTACTAGTTTACAAGTTATCAAGTAGCAGCTTTTTTTTTAAATTGAAAGCTTCTCTTTGTTTTCATGTGTATGTGTATCCATGCTGTTTAAAAGCTTAATATCAATTACGATTGAAATCGAAAGTCAACTTCATTGTATTGATATAATCGCCTTCCATTAAAAAATATAATGGAATATTATGTCAATACCAATTCCGAGCCCTCAAACTCATTATCATGTACATGTCATTCGTTGTGTTTTCAAGATATTTCTTTAAATGCCTTTACTTGCGTAAACATATTTTTTCTATATCAGATAAAATTTAAATTAACAATGGCTTTCTTTTCCTCATAATAAAATTTAGCGCCATTTTTTTAAGCAACAATATTTGCGCATTATTTAAAAAACACAGTTTCCCATTTAATTGAAGAAAAAAAATCAAATGGAATATTTTCACAAATCTATGACAACAATGTATCTATCTGTCTATATATATATATAAAGTAGTAATCTCTGTTTGTTAGTTTTGATGTCCGATCATAACTCAGGAACACATGGACAGATTTGCCTCAAATTTTAATTGAGGAACTTGGGAGACCCACAGAATTGTTTTTGGCTTGGTTTTCAGATTCCAAGTTAAGTTGGTCTTATTTTATAAAAGCTAAAAGCGTAATTTATGACCAAGCGCGGGTAAACGGCGGGAGTAACTGTAAGTAACCTGGTCAACGCTGGGTTCCCAGGCTAGGTTTAGACATAANATATATATATAACTATTTATATAAAAGGGCCGGGTTCTCCTAGCAACTAGATCATATGTTGAACTAGTGTATTGTAAATTATCTTCAAACTACGTTTCATCAGTCTTCTCTCAGCCTTCGAGTTCAATCCCTGGCTCCCTCTCTGCTCCTCGGCATCCATTCAGATATAATCCATAATCCTTTTTATCCAAACAATCCTTAATTCATAATCCTCTTTATCTAAACGATCCTTAATTCATAATCCCATCTCCTGGACGATCCTTACTCCCTCACATATTCCTTCAAGCGATCCGTCTTTTAGTAGATCGACGATCTCTCAAGCAATCTATATTATCTGAGAAGGGACGAATCTTATTGTAAAACTTTGAAACCTGTGGATTCTTTTAAATCACAGTCCCACCCCGTCAACCCCTAAAGAGGTAGAGATATCAAAATATTCTTTATTTATTATTGTTAAATAATCATTAAAAAAATTACATAGATGTTTAGATTGTTAAATTTTATTTAAGTTTTATTTAACACACAAAAGTTGTTGAGCGCAATCAAAGCAATTGAGTCTTGGCCACAAACTCTAATTTTCTAACCATTATATCAAACTATAGATATTTAAAACTATGAATTCTGTTAGATTAAGTAATATAAGTTTGAATTATTAAAGATTTACGACATTGGGTTCCAAAGATATAGGGATTTTAAAAGCAGAGTTGGTGGCCAAGATTCAATTCCTTTCTGTATCAGAATTTTAAATCAGAAAGTACAGCGTATCCAAAATTTAAAAAAAATAACAAATTTTTTTCAGCTTTCAGACAGCGTTAAAGTTCCCGAAGCTGTACTCAATATTCAAAAAATCCTACACCCAGAGAACCTAGACCCTTGAGAGAAAATAGACCCAATAGAGTCTAGAGGTTTGAGAGAAGACTTAAAATTTCTCTCTTCAATAAGACAAATCATTCTGTGACAGTGAAAGTCAAATCGTCCCCGATAAAAACAAAAAGTAAGATTTTTATTTAGAGTAGATACAGCAATTTCGTAGTGTTCAATAGATTTACGTATGCTTGATTTACATGGCCCTTTAAAAAAAGAGATATCGTCGTTTTTATCTTTGAAAATTGATAAATTTCTACTGTGCACTCCTTTCTTTGACTTTATTGCATATTGCCAGATTTTAGATAAAGGGGATCTTCATCAATTTTGCTCTAACATCGTTTTTGATTGCTACCCTTGTGAATCGGACAAGCCTAACTTTAAGTGAATGATTACTTGGAAAAGTGTAGACAGTCCCTTTAATGAATTTCTTTAAAGTATTTTTTGATGGCTGATAACAATATACAGTCATAATCAGAGAGACCCGGAAGACTTTTCATATACATCTCTGGCAATTTCAAATTCTCAAAAAGGCACACCACATTTTGGAAATGGCAGCTATTTTGCTATTTTGTGATTATCGTTTTATTAATCATATTTGTAAGATTAGATTGTAAAGTCGTCTGATTAATTGTAAATTAATTACGGTTTTTTCTGATTAGGACTGTATGAAGTAGGCAGAAAGTGGGAAAAATATCTAAAATGTACATTTAGAACAGCTGAAATATCTAAAAATGTATATTTAGAACAGCTGAAATATGTCTTGCCTGAGTTTTGTTCTTCTCTCATTCTTTTTATTACTAGGTAAGCTAAGTTTCAAGTTTTTCCCAATATTTGAACTATAAGTCTCAGAAAATAATCGCTTACCTCTCTTTAACTCCATGTCCTCTCTAGTGGTGTACCCTGGAGCCTGTAGACCAGAGTACCTGGAAAAGGAGTTGCAGCTGAACCCAACCCTGGAGTTGGGATTGGAGAGAGAACATGTCCTGGATACAGAGAGCAGTATCTCAACTCAACAAAATATAATCAAGAAATCCAGGACTAAACGCAGCAAAGTAAGTTTTATTTTATTGCAATTTTTACTTTTTTCTTTCGTTACGCATTGAATTTAAGACTTAAACTCACAACAAAAACAGTCTATGAAACTGATTATTCTTCTACAGAATTAACCTGGTGGGGTAAAAACTCTACAACATTAGGTTGCAAAGATTTAAAGATTAGACAATCAGAGTTTGAGGCAAGTGTTCATGGTTCCTTTCTCTGATATTTACTAAGTCCCTCATATGTACATTACACTTATTTCCTTCTGGTTCTTAGGTACATGCAGGATTAAATATCTGTACTCCAGGATTAAATATCTGTACTACAGGATTAAATATTTGTGCTCTAGGTTTAAATATTTGTGCTCTAGGTTAAGCTGTGTGGGGATATTCTAATTGAGATGCTCCGGGTAGTCTGCAGGCACAGGGGCAGGAGGGACGTTTCTAACCAGAGCTTCTGGTTATCAAATAGGTAGATTGATAGATTCACCTTAACTAGATTTACATAAAATAGATTGACATAATATGGATGGACATAAGATAAATAGAAAGGTAGAAAAGTGGGCATAAGATAGATTGACATAAGATAAATAGACAGGTAGCAAATTTCACAAAATAGGTATAAGTTAACATAATTTAATAAAATATTGAATATAAGATAATTGGAGATAAGATAATTGTATATAAAACAATTCGAAATAAGATAAATTGATATAAGATAAATTGATATAAGAAAAATGGGAAATAAGATAATTTGATTTATGATATTTTTGACCTCTAAATTTTTGTTTGCAGCTATAAATTGAAAAAAAATTTAATTTTTCCCCGGATCAAAGTACAAACTTATTCTAAATTACAATCTTGATAAGCTTCTGATTGATTCTTATTGAAAGGGAAGAAGTGTCAAATTTTGCTGCAAACCGAGGGGTAGGGTTGGCGGAGAGCTGCTGTCAAAATTCCTGCTCTATACGACAACTCCAGCGGGCGTGTGGTCTAATCTACTAAAATTACATCCGCCTGTACTCCGCCATTATCCTTCCTCATATTTATTTTAAGATACCAGAAGAAAATAGCAAAATAAATACTCATTTATTAAACCTCTATCTCTATCCCACTCCTTTCTACTCTGATGTGATACATCTGCGGCCTACTTTGGCTGCGCTGAACAAAGCCACCGCTGTGATACCGAAATTGGCGCCAAAGTAAGAATCGAGCGCGTTCACGCGGAAAATGCCGCGGAGTCGAGGTTCTAATCAGCTGCTGTGTTATATTTAATCTTTTTCTCTAAAAACGTGAATATCTTTTCACAAGTCTGCGAAAAGATAAACAATCCTATTTTTAGACTTAATTTGTTAATATGTTTACTTTACATTTCAATAATAAACTTTACATCAAGAAAAGTTTGAAAAGAAAAAAAACTAAATTATATTGATCACTTTTCTGATGTAATGTTTAAAAAATTGTTAAAAAGTAAAAACTAAATTAACATGTGTTTTTTTCATTAATTCTTAAATTCTTTGAATCATACTTTGCTGTAAATTATTATTATTCGATATTTAAATCTTTTTATTTTCAACTTTGAATTAAGTAAAGTGAAAAACGTAAAGTGTAAAGTGTATCTATATATTTATATGGTTAACCATTTAATTTTTTTTTTTTTTTATCAATGTAAATAAAAATGTCAACTTTGTCTCAATCAATATGTTCTCTATATGCAAATATTCCATGATTACTGATAAGCTTTAAGAAATCTTTAATTTTCCAAAAAAAAATGTAAAAATCATTTTTGAATTATAGGTTTTTGTGTCTAGCATTGTCAGACAGTATATTTTACAATATCTTTGTACAGATATAAATACTTTTTTTATATTCATTATAGAATCATTACATGTGTTAAAAAAATAGTACATAAAATGTAGACCTTATTAAACTTGTATAGGCTAATCTATATAATAAAGATCTTAACTCATATACATAGATATGTAGTATTCAACACATGATAATGTGATGTTTGCATGTTTATATATGTATGTTTATATGTCAAGTATAGCTGGCTAAACGGCTGAAACGAATGGGCTGACATTTTTGAATTCTTTTAAAAAAGCTAGTATTTAATATGGACTTACAGGGACTGTAAAGGAAAAATTAAAGGGGGTATAGGTTGAAACCTGAGAATATAAGACGTTGAATTATACATATAAGAAATCTATCTATCTATCTTGTCTCGAGAAATTGACAAAAACTGTGTCAAAATTATACCAAAATTCATATATATACAATTTTGTATAAAAGTAGTAGGTTTAAACAGACCATATTCAGCAAATATGCAACCAATCTAAAAACAATTATATCCCACAGGAGCCAGAGAATCTCAGGTTTGTTCCTATTATCTTTCAACGCGTGAGCTTCTCAGGTTTCAGCCTATACTTCCTTTCATTTTTCCTTTAGAGTCCTTTTAACACTGAATCTGTGAGCTAACAGTAAAGCTGAAATACAACAATGATCGGACCAAGATTTAAAAAAAGTATTTTTTTTTAATCCGTTTTTAGACAAATGTGAAGCTTTTTTAAAATCCGTTTTTAAACAAATGTGAAGTTTATTTTTTGGCCAATTTTTTATTTCCTGTACTAAAAGTACGAATCCATCTTTCTATCGGCAATAATTTGAGAAAAGACTAAAAATAAAAGATATGGGATAAAAAATACTAAAAATGTAAACTAAGTAATGATTTTCTTTTAGTTTATATTTAAAAACATTGTTATACACTTCAAAGAAATCTGATTAAGATAAATAAGACTAAAATAATCTCAACAGTTTTCTAAATCAGACCTCTACTGGATTGGAAACCATTAACAAAGCTTTAACAGCGGTACCCTTTAAACCTACAGGGTTACCCACAAAAGATGAGATTTCAGAGACGATATTACAGAAGTTATACTGTTTGGTCCCTTGTATTAATCATCACCATCAAATCTTTTTTGCGGCAAGCACTTTACAGAATTTGGTATCGCCTACCAATGTCATGTCTAATCCAACAAAATTATATGTTACCTTTATCCAATCACTAAAAATGCTTCATAAAGACTATATTCAAGGATTAAGACTTAATTCAACCTTGGTATCGTCATGTTTAACGAGTTTTGAGTCGTCTTTATAGTATCATCTTTTGTGTTTAATAACTTTATTATCACAATTTTCTCTATTGTTTCTTTATAGTAAGAAATCCTCAAGTATTTCAGAGAATCTACGTACAAACGAAAATACTGAAAATAATCAGTGGTCGAATTTAAAGAATTTGAACGGCGGCTTGAATTTAAACCGCGACTGAAATATGGTTGATTCCATTTAAAATTGTATTAAGTTTTTCCAAGATTTAAGCCGACGCTCAATTGAAACCGGTTTTTGGGTGATTTGAGACGCGGCTTAAATTCATTAAATTTGGACACAGTTTGTAGATAGAAGAACAGGGAGAACTTCATGCTGAGACAAAGGCTTTAAGGGCACGTTGTGAATCGGACATGACAATAAATAAATGAAGGGTCACTTACGCCTTCCTTCTTGTATTGAACAGATCTTGTAAAATCGTAACTTTCCATGCATGCCCCAGCGGGACATCAGAATATTTCAATTGTTTTTTAACTAACGTTTTACGCAGATAGATCAGACGTATTTACAAGACAATCATTTGCAATAGAAAATAAATTCTGCGGGGAACGGTGTTGATTGCCTGTATGTAAACGTCGGCGAGAAGATATGAGCAGAGTGAGAAGAGTTTAGTATAGTCGCTGAATTCCTGTTTTTATTGAAGCTCTCTGTATATATTTGTTGTGCAATCCGTTTGTAAGCAGATTGACTGTGTAGTGTCTGACCTTAGACGCTGATTGATACAATAAAATATTTGACAAGTACTTTAGTTGAAAACAAACTCTTGTTCTAATTTTACAAAAGTTGAGAACTCATTGTCAATATTTGACAGTACACCAAGATTTTCCTTGTTTATTCCATTTTTACGTGTTCTTTTCCTAGTCCTGTTACTTGTCCTTGCCTTATCTTATTCCTTGTCCTGTTCCTTGTCCTGTTCCTTGTCCTGTTCCTTTTCCTGTTCCTTTTCATGTTCCTTGTCCTATTCCTTGCCCTGTTCCTTGTCCTGATCCTTGTCCTGTTCCTTGTCCTATTCCTTGTCCTGCTCTTTGTCCTGTTCCTTGTCCAGTTCCTTGTCCTATTCCTTGTCCTGCTCTTTGTCCTGTTCCTTGTCCTGTTCCTTGTCCTGTTCCTTCTCCTGTTCCTTGTCCTGTTCCTTGTCCTGTTCCTTGTCCTGTTCCTTGTCATGTTCCTTGTCCTGTTCCTTGTCCTGTTACTTGTCTTGTTACTTGTCCTGTTCCTTGTCCAGTTCCTTGTCCTGTTCCTTGCCCTGTTCCTTGTCATATTCCTTGCCCTGTTCCTTGTCCTGATCCTTGTCCTGTTCCTTGTCCTATTCCTTGTCCTGTTCCTTGTCCTGTTCCTTGTCCTGTTCCTTGTCCTGTTCCTTGTCCTGTTCCTTGTCCTGTTCCTTGTCCTGTTCCTTGTCCTGTTTCTTGTCCTGTTCCTTGTCCTGTGCCTTGTCCTGTACCTTGTCCTGTTTTCTTTTATCAATAATAATCCCTAAATTTTTGACTAGATGCAAGATCTGCATATATTTCTGTTCAACTACAAGAAGGCACTACTAGATGACATAATAAAATCTAATGCATGAATTTCTTGCTCTAATTGACTTTTTGAAGCAAAAAAATCTGAAAAGATCTAAGATAAAATGGAGAAATGTCTTTGGAAAAGAAAATTTTTCGAAAATTTCTCTTTTTAAGATTTTTTTATTATTTAGTACCGAGCCCTGTCTTCTAGGCGCCGCGAATATTGAGATCTTTGGGTAATCTGTCACTGACATTAACATTTCATATCAAACTCAGAATTTATTATATATTAATTCTATATTTTATTTACTGAGGGAGGGAGGGGCTAGGTTTTCAATTTGGAGGGAGGGGTTGTTTTTTAAATCGGGGTTTTCACCATGTATTCCTTCAAGGTTGAGGGATTATTGTGTAAAGTATAAAATTAATATTTGAATTTTAAGCTAATTATATTTTGCATTATATTACGTAGTTCCTACTAGCACGATGGTGAATATATAGCAAGTAACCCACAGTTTAAAAGATTATTGATTCTTTTGATTTGGTTTGATCAATAAATAGTTTGTTGCACATTCCATAGTTAGTTGTTGTTCTTCTGTACAGATAATAACAACAAGAAGGGAATATATTCTAAGGGAATAAACTAGAAATGCGGAGCGTTAACAATTCTTGCTATGTTTCATAATGTTTACCACATCTACATATACAAGTAGTAATATCTGTTTATCTGTTTGATATCCGATCATAACTTTTGAACCCCTTGACCAAATTACATTTGAAGTCCATAGAACCACGGGAACTTTCTAAGCCTATGGTTTAAAGATTTTAAATTGAGTGAATTGACGTTTATAGGGAATGTTTAGTTTTTAGGCAGGGTTGGTTTCCAACCTAGTAGAAAATAAAATTGTAGTCTAATTCTTATCACACGGAGAGATCTATTAATATATACCTTATATCTTTGTAAAGCTAAGACATTTTAAGGTAAATTTTAGCAGACCTTCAATAATACACATGCTTTAAATTTTTGCAACCAAAACAAATATATTTTCACTATCAATTATTTGATAAAATTTATTGGTTTCTGCCAGGCTACATTTGTTGCATGAAACTTGCTGGGTCGACTCTACACTCTGTAGTCTAGACTGCATGTACAGGAAGTGTTGTACCGGCTCGGATTATGCAACGGTTAGAGTGGGGTGGAGGTTTTATTTGTTGTGAATGTTAGAGTGGGATGCCGGTTAAACCTGTTGTGAATGTGAGAGTGGGATGCCGGTTAAACCTGTTGTGAATGTTAGAGTGGGGTGCCGGGTAAACCTGTTGTGAATGTTAGAGTGGGATGCCGGTTAAACCTGTTGTGAATGGTTTGGAAACTAAAAACTATGTCGACAAGTAATGTCAGATATAAAACAGGGTCTCCTAAAAACATAAGAATTAGAAGACGAATTAAAATTCGTCTTTGATGTCAAAAAGTTGATGATAGAGAACGAACAATTGTATTAAAAAAGAATGTGATCTATCCTTCGTCGTAATTTAATTTTATTTGAAACCTTTAAACCAGAAATGTAATGGTACAAAAAAGGTAGATCACATTTCAGATATTTCAAGTTTTAAGTGAAAAAAAAATTATTCACGAAAAAATACCTGCATAAATAAAGACGTCACTTAATTTCTTTTTTAGTGGGACACCCTGTAAATGATATAAAAGGTTAGTTTAAAATATGAATTTGTTGTAAAGATCCCAAAATGCATCAGTATTCCCAACCCTTCACTGATTCAGATACTAATTCAGAAACTGGGCCTGATCCAAAATTCGAAAAAGGTAAAAGTCAAACACTGAAACTATAAGTGACCAAATATCTATTAAGAATGTTTAAAAAACGCTGTTTAAAATTTAATAGTACTGATTTAAATGTGTTCTTGCAGGAAATAGAATGAATTCAAAAATCAAAATAAAGAAATTGAGTCTTTGTCATACACAAAATCAATAAATTTTCTAAACTCTAAATAGAAAAAAACCCCGATTTCGTAAATCTTGGATATTTCAAACTTTGAATTCTGCTAGATCAAATTATTTAAGGTTTACTCCATCAAGTTGCAAAGATATAGGGATTCAAAAATTTGAGTTTGTGTAAAAGACTCAATTTCTTTGAAAACATTGTAGCAGCAATAATTCGAGTCTAAAATGAAACTTAAGAATGCTCGAGAATTATGACGAAAATCCGGGAACAGGAAAAACCGGCATCCAGGAACCAGTGAGTCTCCTTCCTCAAACACGAGAACATGTACTCCTGGATATTAATATATGTTCATTTAACTATTTAGAATAAACCAAATATGTATACTTGTTCTTCCTCTAAAACATAATATTTATAATATTTTTGTTTCAGCCTCAGATCCTGAGCTAGGACTAGACAGCAAAGATTTCAACTTTTTCTCAGCAAATTCTAATATTAGTTCCAAGGCTATCAAGAGAAGGAATATATTCACTCGTAATATTAAAATGATAACAGTTATGATTATATCTTTTGAAATTAAAATATTGTATTTTTTCTTTTAACTAAATGCATTATCATAAAAATTATCTCTCAGACAAATTTTAAATTGAGATTTATCAATATATCTTTCATCCCTTCCAATCTGATAAGGCTAATATTATGATTAAAAAAAGAGTTGTGCCCTTCGCATTCTTGTAAATAAATGATCAGCTAAATAAATCAGTAATCTTAGTTTGTCTGTCTGTTTGTTTGGCTGTCTGTTTGGCTGTCTGTCTGTTTGTTTGTCTGTCTGTTTGTTTGGATGAAATTGATCATGATTTTTGATTGGGTAACTCGTGTTTAAAGAAATTAGCAAAAATAAAAAAATTTAAAACTAATTGATATATTTTGTTTAATAGTTTCAATGCTTATCATGTTTAATTTCATGACAATTTTTGAAAAATTTAGTAAATAATGTATTTTTATCTAAAAAGAGAGGTTGTCATTGAAATTCAAGAGTTTACCTCTCAGAAACCTTTCCTGGGGGGTTACAGAGACAAGGTAGGTTTTCAGTCGTTTAAACTCTTTTTTTTACAATTTATTTTATATTTCTTATTTTTAACTCTTTTTTATTCACTCATCTGATTTGAATTTTTATTTTAATTTGCCTAATTCTGTATTTTTTCTTCTCATTTTGCTTAATTAGTTTTTTACTTCCCTTCACCTTTTTCTTGGTCCAATTTATTTTAATGCTTTCTTTCTATATTCTGGCTATTAAAGTGTGCAAAAGTACTACCAATCTTTAAATCAGGTGCCACATGTGATTTCACAAATTATCGACCTACCAGTTCACTTTCTCCATTTTCGAAGTTATTGGAAAAGCTGGTTTCTAGTCAAATGTTCAGATTTATAGATAAATATAGTATCTTATATTCTCACCAACATGGATTTAGACCCAAACATGACACCTCACATCCACTTTTACAATTCTTAGATAAAATTTACCAAGGTTTGAAAAAGAATGAATCTGAATATACCTTGGGAGTATTCTTAGATCTAAAAAAAGCCTTTGATACTGATGACTTTGAAAATACTCCAGTAGCGTAGAATTTTTTCCGGTACTCAAAACATACACTGGTTGTTTTATACAGTTGAGATTCTAAACAATCATGGATTCTACTGCTGCTTCGGACTTAAATTAATCATTTTTTAGTCTCCAATACACATCCCAACGGAGAGCCATCTTTCTTCAATCATATGCTGTCTTATTATGATTCCCGGATTTTCTAATTTGTACTCGGGAATTACTAATATTTTGGACTGTTCAGAACAATTTCTTGAATATATTCTATATTGATGTTCACATCTATCAATATATTGAAAAAGTTGGATTTATCTTTTATATAGTTGTATGTGTCCATCGAATATTTTCAATTTTACTAAATAGAAACTATCAATATATTTCGTCCATTGGATGGTTTTGTCCAACCTACAAACTTTTAATCTTATATCTGTATATGTATAGAGAAATTATCAGAATTAAACATCTATAACCAGTTGCTCTGTGCTCTAGGCAGGGATCGGACCTGCCCACAGTGGTTCCTGGCTTCACAGGTTAGAATTGCTCATGACTCATGCATAGAATTGCTCATGACTCATCCTGCAGTAAGGAAACAGTGAAGGGTGTGGGTTCTCTCTCTCTCTCTCTTTTCCTTTCTCTTGCTAGGAAACAAGAACTCCATCTTCAGCTTTTCTATAGCTCAACATATCAACTGAAAGAAGGAATACAGCTAGAAGTATAACCCCTGAAAGGTATACAAGCCTTCCACAATAATACCATTTTTTTACTCAGTCGGCTGTGAGGACTGGACTACTATATAAGATTCCACCCATGGTGGGGTTTTAAGGCTTTATCTCCCCATTTTGCATAAATGGTGTAATTATGGGTCTGCACCTTAATTTTCCATAAGTGGGAAACACTTTAAAACAAAGGAAAGAAGGATCTTCTACTGAAATCCCTCATACCCTTCCTCCGCCAAACTTCCTTATGTCTTTTCTTCCTGCTCCACAACTTGATGTCACAAGAACTACTTTGAGAGGGCTCAAAACGTACAAAATGCCCCAGTCAGAAATATAATAGTAAATCTATTAACTTAATCAGTTATGATTCAGCTATAAAGAACACGCCAAATCACACACAAACATGTGAAAACAAAGATTTCAGAAAAATAGGAAAGCAGGAGCCTCTCCACCTTCTTCTGAGCTAGCAGCCTGACAGCTGCTAGGATGTCCCAAACAATTTCTTTTTTTTAAATCAGTCGCAAAATGATTAAAGATGTACAAACCAGAAGAAAATGGAGAACATGAATATTTCTATCTGCGTTCTTCTAACTATTTATTATAGAATACTGTTAAAATAAATGAATATGTAAAAAATAAACATTGTTAATCAGAAAATTGATGGCCTCTTCAATATTTTTAATAAGACTAAGGTTTTGAGGGTATTGTAAATTGGGAATTGCCATCTTTGCATGTAGAGTCACTTGAAATTAGGCCATAGCCTACAGTCCCTTTAACTGTGCACTTGTATTTCAGACGAATTCAAACCAAATCTACCCAGGAGAGAGATATCCAGACTAGGCAAGACGAGTGCACACAGACAAGGTAATATTTAGTTTTAGACATGCCGAACTCAATTAATATTTAGCTTTAGACCCGCCAAACTTAGGTAAGTTTAGTTGAAAACACGCCGAACTCAGGTAATATTTAGTTTAAAACACTCCGAACTTAAGTTTTATTTGATTTAAAACATCCCAAACTCTGGTAATATTTAGTTGTCGACACGCTAAACGCTCGTAATTTTTTGCCTTAAACACGCCGAACTCTGGAAATAGTTAATTTTAGACACACCGGACTCAGGTAATATTTAGTTTATAAACACTCCGATCTCGGGCAACGTTTAACTTAAAATTAAGCTTAATATTAAGTTTTAGACACGTCTAAAGCAGGTACTGTTTACTAATATTTAGTTTTATGTATAAGACATGTGAGAAAGATCAGCAAACAATAGTTTGGAATTGCACCCTTTAGACATAGAGTTATATAAAAACAAATTAACCTAAAATTTTAATGTTTAGGGTTCCTGGTTTCCATGAAGTGGTTTACAAAGATAGAGTAATTCAAGCTAAAGGATATAGGTCTGGCATATTCTAAATTCTAATCTCGAAATTGAAGATTTTATTTTAAAATACTTTTATATTTTTAGTTCAGCTCAGGAGCAGGAGGAGGTCTATAATGAGAATATTATGTTTGTCCAGGTATATTGTTAAACAGCTATAGTTAATTATGATCTGAACTTTAGTGTGGACTATCCTTAATCTTAAAGGGAGCGACTGTCTATGTATGTATAGTTGAACTGTGAGTGCAGTTTTATAAAATAAAATATCTAGATAACTTTGATACTTTTATGACGTTATCACTACATAAGAACGCAAACTAACTCTTAAAATTCACAACGCGGGATAATTCTGGAAATTATTTTTCGCAAAAATAGATTTTTAGAAAATATAAATTAGCACGAATAAAAAAAGCAACAAAAGTCTTTTATAAACTAATTTGATCTTTAGGGACATATTTCTCAAAAGAAATTTTAGATGAAATCAATGAAAGAATCAATTTTTTTTCTGTATCATAATTATATTATTTTTTTTTCTTAAGACCTATTTGCCGATTTCTTTAAATTTATTCAAATTCGCTTTGAAACTAAATTCAAGGAAATCCATGTGAATAGTTTTGGATAAAAATTTAATATTACAAAAAAGATGACTATATAATATTAAGTATTTTCTTGGTAAGAGATCATCTTTATTATCTCAACCTGTTACTAAACTCTAATGTACATTTACTGCCGGGTTATTGAACAATTTTCATAAATGGAAACCTACAAAATTATGCAGCCTTGTGTTTTACGAGGAGCGAGTTTGCAGTCTTATATATCAATTATAGAATAAAATAAAGTTTATAGGTATCAAATGAATACTGATATTTTATCTTATAATACTGCACTCTGAGTTCAACTACCATACATAGCCAGCCACTCCTTTAAATACTTTAACGCTTGGATATCCAATGTGGGCACTTATCAATTCAGGGAAAAAGGTTTGATCCTAGGGTTTCCACGAAACAGTCAAATCCCTTGCGCAACAGTTTCGTGGTTTTGCACGTAATTCTGCATCATTTTCGTATCAATACAAAACCAGTTTTGCACAAAATTGCGCATTCATTCGAAATAAATATTTTTTTGCACGAAATTTCATGATATTGCGCATGAATACAGGTCATTTTTGCAATGCCCATGAATACGAAAAATTAAAATTTTTGTAGAGCAGTTTTGTTTGTGCATGCAGGAAAACGAAATTTAGTAATATTTGTTGCATGCCATAGGCCTTACAATGCATAAATATGAAAGATTTCAATATTTGGACAGTATGGTGTGAATTAGTTTCAATAAAAAACAACTTCCATCTAACCCTACTCATCTCCAAGTTCAGACTGGACTGATAATTAGTGAATGTGATTATGATTAAGTTACCACTTGAGATTAATTGCTGGTAAACGGTGTAATAGTCGGTACGGTCTGGTGACCTAAAACCTGAGCATTGGAACTTATTCGGTCATTCGGTGTGAGCGCCGAGCAGGCTGGAGTATAGGTGACTCTGATTGGTTTAATTTAGAATTTTTTCATCATTTCTTAGAATTGTTTCTCGAAAGTTAACGAAATAACGAAAAAGCAGGAATTATACATATACGCAAATATCAAGATTTTCTTCAGAATTTTCATAAAAATAGCTTTTGCGCATCACTGCGCAAAAACATCGAAATTTCGTGCAATTTTTACTCGAAACGTGAGCAAATCTTTGCAAAATTTTGGCACGATTTTCGTGCAAAAAAATTCGACTGGAATCCCTTAGTTAAAGTTTTTCCTGTGCAGAGAATGACCACAACGTGATATCGAAGAAGTATTAAAATTATCCGTAGCTAGGTCTTCAATAAACGGAGATGATTGGTAGATCCAGAGATTAAATATATAAACTGATAAAACAAGCTTTACAAGAAGGGGAGAAACCTTGCTTTTAAAATAAATTACTGAATTATTAGAGAGTGTGCTTGGGTTGGATTGCTCGAGGAGGGGAGAAACCTCGATTTTAAAATAAATTACTGAATTATTAGAGAGTGTGCCGGGGTTGGATTGCTCGAAGAAAAGTAATGCAGATGAGAGAAGATTATTCTTTACAAAGGGTAACAAGTATTTTAAATCATTTTAGAAACATTTTTATATATTTATTCTTCAATACGCTATTTTTATATTTGTAATTTTCTAAAAATACAGAGGGACCCGTGGAAGAGGAAGACAACTGTTAGATTCTATAATAGTTATAACCATGAAACACTTGGATTTTCAAGCAACCATAGAAAACACATGTGCTCGATAACAACGTCAAATACACACAAAAATGGTCTAATGTCGTCATTTAATTCTACAATTTTATGGAACCCTCTGTAAGAAGAAAATTTTTTTGGTAAAAAATAAAATACAGATACTATTTAAACAATATGTTTAATAATTTTTTTAAAAAACATTTTTAAACCCGCCTAGGTTAGAGAAGAAGAGGAGGAAAGAATTCGCGAAGAGGAAATTCAAGAAAGGAAAGAAATTGAAAGTGAGAGATGTAAAAATCCAAAATCTAAGGTTAGCTAACTTCATCTTAATCCGAAGGTTAATTTGATAAAAGGGATTGTATTCTTTATCAAAGGTTAATTTGATAGAAAGGATTGTATTCATAATCAAAGGTTAATTTGATAAAAGGGATTGTATTCTTTATCAAAGGTTAATTTGATAAAAGGAATTGTATTCTTTATCAAAGGTTAATTTGATAAAAGGGATTGTATTCTTTATCAAAGGTTAATTTGATGAAAGGCATTGTATTCTTTATCAAAGATTAATTTGATTAAAAGGGATTGTATTCTTTATCAAAGATTAATTTGATAAAAGGGATTGTATTCTTTATCAAAGGTTAATTTGATGAAAGGCATTGTATTCTTTATCAAAGATTAATTTGATAAAAAGGGATTGTATTCTTTATCAAAGATTAATTTGATAAAAGGGATTGTATTCTTTATCAAAGGTTAATTTGATGAAAGGCATTGTATTCTTTATCAAAGATTAATTTGATAAAAAGGGATTGTATTCTTTATCAAAGATTAATTTGATAAAAGGGATTGTATTCTTTATCAAAGGTTAATTTGATGAAAGGAATTGTATTCTTTATCAAAGATTAATTTGAGAAAGAGTTTGTATTCTTTTTCAAAGACAAATTTGATAAAAGGGATTGTGTTCTTTTTCAAGATTAATTCGATAAAAGGGATTGTATTCTTTAAACATTGTTAATTTGATAAAAGGGATTGTATTCTTTAAACATAGTTAATTTGATAAAAGGGATTGTATTCTTGACCCAAGGTTTATTCTATAAACGGAATTGTATTCATTACCTAAGGCTAATTTGAAAAAATGGAATGGAATTCTTTACCCTTTGTTAATTTGATAAAAAGGATTTATTTTGGTTCTTTTCTGTTTCTGAAAGGAAGTGTTCGCGAAAAATGAAAGGGGTTACAGGCTTACGTCGAAAAATATTCGATGATGATTACTACTGATCTTACTTCTATCTGTTGTGTCTATAAGGAAAAATTGTTCAAAAAGACTCATACCGAAGAACGTAGTGCCCATACAAATTCAGAAAGTTGTAATATTCGACTCGGATCGTAATAAAATCAATTTAATTCCTAACAAATCATTCAGATATTACAAACAATAATCAACAACTTTTTTTCAATGCATTCGTACGAAGTTGATATTTAATAATACATTTTATTTATTTTATATACAATGCACTTAAAACGACAATTTTTTGTCCGCTAGGTGGAACCAGGCAGAAACATCGAGAGCAGAGACACCTGGCGGCCAAATAATCGTCGTTTAAATTGCATCATATATAAAACAAAAACAATATATTATCCAATATCGACTATATATAAATGCGACGAAAAAAATTCGATGATTATAGGTTGTAATATCTGAATGATTTGTTTGAAATTAAATTGATTTTATTACGATCCGAGTTGAATCTTGCAATTTTCTGAATTGTATGGACACTACGTTCTTCAGTATGAGTCGTTTTTAACAATTTTCTCCTTAACACCATCGAATATTTTTCGACATAAGTCCCATTTTTCGCGAACACTTCCTTTAAATACGGGAACTGTATCATAAATATAGGTTTTACTTTTAAATGGACTGTGTCCTATATCTATATGTTACTGTACTTTTTAGGCAGACTTTGACATGCTTTATAATCGACTTGAAGACTGGAGAAAGGAACAGGAAGCTTCATTACAAGCCAAGGACAGCAAGGCAGCAAATCTGGGCAGGTACAGTTCAACATGGGTATTGGGTAGGTACTGTACAACATGGGTAGGCACACGTGTATAACATGGGTAGGTACACGTACAATATGGGTGGGTACAGTACAGAGTGGTCAGGTACAAACAACTTAAGTAAGTACAACACAACGTTTTAAAATGCTGTACAATTTTGACAGGTTGGGCTGGGGTTGGTGAAGTACAACGAAGGCAGTTACATTAAACCTATTCTTATTTCAATAAATGGTTAAAAGTTTTAATTCTTTTAGTAATATTTTTACAAAAATTAAACAGAGTAATTATTGTACAGAAAATACATCGAAGCAAATATTTAAAAGCAAACACTATTTTGTCAGAGCAAAGTTGGTTATGAACGAAGCTGAACTGCTCCTGCAAATAAACAAGCATAAGAGCAGTGCAAAAATGGACGCGAAGGAAAGAATGATTGAACAATTTCTTACAAAGGTATATACAACAAACACACATTTTTTTATTTCATTTATTTGGAAAAAACATAAATATGCCAATGAGGTTGATGTAGTCATTACAATGTATTTTATATATACATATGATAAAAATAGTAATAAAGATTATAATCTTTATAAAAATAATAAACATGATTACAGTAATAATGATGATAACAACAACAATGCAAATAACAATAATAAAATCTTCTTTTTATATCAGGCGGCTACCCCAATATTAAAAATGTTGAAAAGTGGAGAATTGATCGAAATTGAAACTCCCGAAACTCGTCTTGCTACAGCATATAAGAATATGCATAACAACCTACGGTAAACATTTTAAAATCCAAAGTGATTCTATAGTTTAAACACAGATATGACCAGAATTCTGGTTTCTTACAGATTATAAAGAAAGTAAAAGATAGTTTGATTTCCCACAGATTATAAAGAAAGGACTAGATCTTATGGTTTCCCACAGACTATAAAGAAAGGACAAGATCTTATGGTTTCCCATAGACTATAAAATAAGAACACAATATTATGGTTTCCCACAGATTATAAAGAATAGGCAAGATCTTATGGTTTCCCACAGACTATAGAGAAAGGACACAATATTATGGTTTCCCACAGATTACAAAGAAAGGACAAGTCCTTTTGGTTTTCCACAGACTATAAAGAAAGAACACAATCTTATGGTTTTCCACAGACTATAAAGAAAGGACAAGATATTATGGTTTCCCACAGATTATAAAGAAAGGACAGAATATTATGGTTTCCCACAGATAATAAAGAAATGACAAGATATAATGGTTTCTCACAGACTATAAAGAATGGACACGATATTATGGTTTCCCACAGATAATAAAGAAAGGACAAGATATTATGGTTTCCCACAGATAATAAAGAAAGTACAAGATATTTGGTTTCCTACAGAAAATAAAGAAAAGACAAGATATTATGGTTTCCCACAGAATATAAAGAAATAACACAATATTATGGTTTCCCACAGATAATAAAGAAAGTACAAGATATTATGGTTTCCCACAGACTATAAAGAATGGACACGATATTATGGTTTCCCACAGATAATAAAGAAAGGACAAGATATTATGGTTTCCCACAGATAATAGAGAAAGGACAAGATATTTGGTTTCCTAGAGAAAACAAAGAAAAGACAAGATATTACTTTTTTCTCACTGATAATAAGGAAAGGACAGTATATTATGGTTTCCCACCGACTATAAAGAAATAACACAGTATTATGGTTTCCCACAGATTAAAAAGAAAGGACAAGATATTATGGTTTCCCACAGATAATAAAGAAAGGACAAGATCTTACGGTTTCCCACAGACTATAAAGAAAGGACACAATATTATGGTTTCCCACAGATTACAAAGAAAGGACACGTCCTTTTGGTTTTCCACAGACTGTAAAGAAAGAATACAATATTATGGTTTCCCACAGACTATAAAGAAAGGACAAGATATTATGGTTTCCCACAGATTATAAAAAAAGGACAGTATATTATGGTTTCCCACAGATAATAAAGAAAGGACAAGATCTTATGGTTTCCCACAGACTATAAAGAAAGGACACGATATTATGGTTTCCCACAGATAATAAAGAAAGGACCAGATATTATGGTTTCACAAAGATAATAAAGAAAGGACAAGATATTATTGTTTTCTCACAAAAAATAAAGAAAGGACAGTATATTATGGTTTCCCACAGATAACAAAGAAAGGACAAGATCTTGTGGTTTCCCACAGACTATAAAGAAAGGAAACAATATTATTGTTTCCCACAGATAATAAAGAAAGGACAAGATATTAATGTTTTCCACAGACAATAAAGAAAGGATAAGATATTAATGTTTCCCACAGATTATAAAAAAGGGAAAAGATAAAAAATTATAAAGAAAGGACAGGATAATATGGTTTCCCACAGATAAGAAAGAAAAGGCCAGATTACATTAGTTCTGTATATTTTCAAACAAAAAAATGATATCAGATATTTTGTGGGACTGGCAATGTTTTATAAATTATGAACTGAAACCCAGTGTTTTAACCACATTTTTCATTCTATGCATTATTTATAGCCAATGTTAAAGTGAAAAAAGTAAACAGAAAAGAAGAATATTGAAAAAATTATGCATCAAATACTAGTCGCTTAAAATTTATAATTTGTAAAAATATGACAATAAAAAAACTTAATTGCTAAATAATGTTTACCCAATGTTATTATGTTAAACAGCTCAGAAACTAAATCAATTAAAATGTCTAAAAATGTTGACCATCTCTTCATACTCTTTTTTTGCAAAAGGCATTAAACATTAAATTAAGGAGTTTCCTTATATCTTTCCAACCTGATGGTGTAAACCTTTAATATTTCCAACTTAGATCATTTGATTCGTCAGAATTCATAGTTTTAACAAACAAAGGTCTACGACATTGGGTTGCAAGGATGTAAGCAATTAGAAAATTTGATGTTTTATGACTTTCGTCAAAAAGATAATATTTTTTATATATGTATAGATGGTTTCTTTAATTTACTGATTTAAAAATAATAATTTTGTATCTAACTGTATTTAGGGAGGAGGTTGTGTTTGTGGAGGACAGGGTTGAATTACTCATTGAAGTAAGATTAATTTGATGTAAATAAACAAACAATAAAGATCATCTTCAATTTATGGTTTTTAAAAACTAAATTTTGATTTATGGATGTTATTTAAGCTATAGATGTTTTCATTTCAGGATTATTTAAAAGAAATAAAAATGCTTTCTTGCGAAAATAACGATTTAAAAAAAAAAAAATTCTTTTTGTTGTTTTTTATCAGAACTATGTTAGGTTTTCCTTTTTTGGCTTTAATTAACACTATATATGGTTTTTATTAAAACTATAATGTAGATTTTTCAGTAAATGGATTTTATTATTACTATAATAAATTTTTCATCAAAACTATAAAATCAGTTTTTATAAAAATTATTGACTGTTAAACTCATAAATTCTATTTAAATTATGAGCTAGTGGATGATAATCTATTGAAACTTAATAAAGTAAAATGCCATAAGCTGAATTGAATAATGTCACGATTATACACACAAACTATATTTACACGTTTAAAAATAACAAATGATAATAGTAGAGATGAACATTTCATGGATTCCTCCGCCTAAGTTTGCGGACGTATTCTTCCATAACAAACTCTTCCAATCCCCTCTCACGCACCTCTGACCCTTCAGTAAAAGTAAATTCAACCTAAAGACTGACCACGTCAACCTTGTTGCACCGGCTAGTCCTATGAGTGTCTGCTTTTTTTACCCAATGTCCGGGGTGTTTGTATAAAATGCCTTCTTTTTGAGCGAAAATTTTATGTTTTTTTAAAAAGAAAATGGTATTGAAGGTTTTAAAAGCTATGAAGTAAGATTAATTTTATGTAAATAAACAAACAATAAAGATCATCTTCAATTTATGGTTTTTTAAAACTAAATTTTGATTTATGGATGTTATTGAAGCTATAGATGTTTTCATTTCAGAATTGTTTATAAGAAATAAAAATAAAAATAAATTTTATTAAAACTAAAAGGATTGTTCAGTAAATGAATTTTATTATAACTATAATAGATTTTTCCGTTAAGGGATTTTTTAAAAACTATTTAGATATTTGAGTTAATGGACTTTATATCTTTTTGAGTTAATTAATTTTAGATAAACTTTATTGATTTTTGAGTTGATGGATTTTATTAAAACTAAAAAGATTTTTAGTTTTGTGGGTTTTTATCAAAACTAGAAAATCAGTTTTGATAAAAATTATTGACTGTTAAATTCATAAATTTTATTTAAATTATGAGCTAGTGGATGATAATCTATTGAAACTTAATAAAGTAAATTGCCATAAGCTGAATTGAAAAATGTCACGATTATACACATCAAAATATATTTACACGTTTAAAAATAACAATTAATAAGAGTAGAGATGAACACTTCAAGAATTCCTCCGCCTAAGTTTGCGGATGTATTCTTCCATAACAAACTCTTCCAACCCCTTCTCACGAACCTCTGACCCTTCAGTAAAAGTAAATTCAACCTAAAGTCTGACCGCATCAACCTTGTTGCACCGGCTAGTCCTATTGAGTGTATTCTTTTTTACCCAATGTCCAATGTGCAAACTGGGACCGGAAAGGTTGACCCGGCTCGGAAATGAAAATGTACTACGACTGCCCGTGCCCTTCATGGATACTAACCATATCAGGGTTTTAAATATTACGGGTTCGTTATTTCCCGCACTTAGTGAATCCGTCTCAACTCTGTTCAGCTGCCAGCTGCCTGGCTCCGCCTAATCCGTTATCTTTAGTTCTGGCGGCACTTCAAGCTTGGCTTTTTTTGAAACTTTTTTAACGGACAATTAAGGGGCTTGGGTTTGGAAATTGGGCCCGTAAAATATTGTAAGGAATTATATACAATACTGAATATATACAATGGTATAAAACTGTGCTGGATTACATTATGAATTAATGAACCAGTATTTACCAGTCATTTGTATTATTTAAGTGACAGAAGAAAATGTAAAGATTTTATTTAATTATATTTTTCATCCGAATTCTTTATTACGAGATGTGAAATTAATTAGTTCTTGTCTAAGGAGAAACATGGTTTTTTATTTTCAAGAAATAAGAGAATTTAATTAAAAATAAGGAAAATATAAAAATTGTTAATCGAAATTCATCAAATAAAATCAATTCTAATTGAACTTTGATTAACAAATGTTTGAAAGATAAATTGTGTTAATAAGGCGTTTTTCGCCACGGCTTCTCTTGGCTTCTAAGTGATATGTGTATCCATCCTGTAAAGCAGCTAAATATAAATAAAAATTGAAATCTAAAGTCGTCTTCATTGTATTAATATAATCGCCTATCAATTGTTGATTCTTTACCAGACAAAGGTTTTATTTCCGTTGTGAATCGAATATACCTCTAATGAATGAATGAAGGATCTTTAAATATTACGTCATACGTCAATAGTTTAAATATTACGTCAATAGTTTAAATATTACGTCAATAGTTTAAATATTACGTCAATAGTTTAATATTACGTCAATAGTTTAAATATTACTTCAATATAGTTTAAATATTACGTCAATAGTTTAAATATTACGTCAATAGTTTAAGTATTACGTCAATAGTTTAAATATTACGTCAATAGTTTAAATATTACGTCAATAGTTTAAATATTACGTCAATGTTTAAATATTACGTCAATAATTTAAATATTACGTCAATAGTTTAATTTTATTTTTTCTTTAGTTGGATTCACTGGTAAAGGATGATGACTGCAAAGTTGTAAAAGAACTCAGGAAAAAAATTGGAAATATAATTTTTTTTAACAAAATAAAATCAGTTTTGTTTTGCAGCTTTTTTCTAATCTTAATTTTGCTTTGATATAACTAAGCGTTAATTAATTCTAAAATGTCATAAAACAATAACTTAAAAGAACTCATTCCATTTAAAAAGTTTATCCAATATTTATTAACATGATTAAGGTTGTTGATAAAACGTGAAATAGATTTTATTAACAGGTAAACTCTCAAAAGTTGTAGGTTTTGTAAGCTCCAAATTCTGAAATGTAGTATCACCCGAATCAAATAGAATATCCAATCCATATCCAACCCTTCTTTAGAAGCATACCTGGATCCAATATATCCAACCCCTAATGTTTAGAGGTATACCTGAAACCAGTTAATCCAACCACTACTGTTTAGAAGCTATACCTGGATACAGTATATCCAAACCCTACTGTTTAGTTAATTGTATACCTGGATCCAGTATATTGTAATCCGGAGCTAACATTTAACCAGTGTGAGCTCAATAGCTCGGAATCAGGATAGTTCTCTTACAAACCTGGAGCTAAACTCAGAGTGGATAGTTCTATTGATATGACCTCTTCAGTCCTCATACGGACCCGGAGCTAAGCTTGGATTGAAAGTAGTCCGGCCTATAAACAGGACAACATATTAGCTTTTTTGTATATAGCTATAGGTTGGACAGAAAGTGAGGTGGATGATAAGTCACCAACGTGGAGAAATATTTTTGTTAGAAAATGCCAACCCAGACAACCTGCTTTGAACGCATGTTTGAACACGTGGAAAACCGAAGCCAATGTTGCCCCAGATCCCAGTTTAAATTCAAGCCAGTAGGCATGAACCACGGCTTAGAATGAGAAATTAGCTTGGACTAAAACCAAAATGGAGTCAGTATTCAAGAAGAGTCCGTCAAAGAGCTCTGGCTTTCCATGATGCATTAGTATCATTTTTATTTGTTCATTTTTTTCTCTTCTCTGTAGATATACTCACATCAGTGTTAAGGCTTTAGATTTCCTTGATTTCATACCACTTTCTTATGGTAACAGTATCCAACCCTTGTTTAGAAGTTTACCTGGATCAAGTATGACTGGTTTAAGATCTCGGATATTAAACCTGTATCTCCAGTATATACGCAACCCGGAGTATAATCCTCAAGTCAGAAAGTTTTTAAGGTTGGTTAATTAATCAATTTATTTGCAATTCAAAACTGATCAATCAATAAATCAATCAATAAGTAAGTTTAAATATTGATCAATCAATCAATAATGATTCTGACTCTAGGATTGAAGCTCCAGATTTGTCCTCTGTAACACAGATGAAGAAGACCCGAAGTAGAGATACTAAAAAGGATATAGAGCTCTGCCAAGCGTGCAGGTCAAACCATTTCACCCTTCACTAAAACCCACTATTTCTTCTGTCAGTATGCTGCAGATTACTGCAGTACACTGACCAAAAGATTAGTTTAGGATGGACTTGAGTTAAAGGGACTGTTTTCAAGTTAATCACATCAAACTGATCAATGTTGTGTAACAAAGATCTTTTGTTACATGCCTCTTTTAGTAATTAGCAAACTGGGAGAAAAATCTATGATTTCAGTGTTATGTGTCATGTGTGTGTCATGTATAAAGTATTTGTATGTTTGTGGTTATTGTCTTAAACCCATGTTACATTACATCAACTATTAACGTTTCCAGCTGAACAACAAAAAATAAGATTGATTTGTTTCAGCCGCTACCTGCCAAAATCCAGTTTCAATATATCAGCTGGTTCCGGGAGTATAGCACAATGCCGCGGTTGCAAACAGTTGGATAATGATGCGCGCACACGGCTTGATCTCAGCTTATATAAACAGCTGTTGGACAGCATCAAGGTAGAAAAATTATAAATGTAAATTTTCCTGCACCAATATACCCTCTGCATGATCCGAAAAGGTACAATTACACTACCGTCCAGTCGATAGAGTAAATCATACAAAATCATAAATATAAATACATTTGTTGGCACCAGCCAGCTTAGTTTATATACCAGTGTGCAGTGGACCCAGCGCGTTTAATGTACAAATATAGATTGTCTGGGTTGGTTTCAGAAATGAATCATGTTATCTGAGCTTAACAGCTTCATCCTCTAGATTTAAGCCATGTTTCTTGGAGGGGTTTAATCTAAACCGTTCTATTACAATTTTAACAGCTGTTTCTATCTGGGTATAACCAAACTTCTTTGAATTGTGGATTTTGAACAATGAGAATCAGGATAATTCCAATCTCAATCACTCGGAAGTCAAGATGTCCGCAAGTCAAGGGACTGAAACCGAATCGAAGCTTTTACTATAGTTTCAGTGTAAGTAAATATTTTCATTTACTAAAGGATTCATAACTCTGATTGGAGAATGAGATAGATAAAAAGATAGATGTTACCGCCATACTATTTCTATTGGTTTAGAATAGACAACAAACCCTGATTGGATCAGGCGCTAATGGGCTCGGCATACAGGACTTCTTTCTGCTCAATGCTCTCACAAAAAGAATGTGTAATGTCCCGGTCAAGCTGTCTATAAGTCGGTCCGGTACTTCAAATAAACAGAAGTTTATAGTTTAGCAAGATGGGCGGATTTTTGGTAATGTCAATTTGGTAAGGTGACAATTTGGTAACGACAATTTGGTAATGACAATTTGGTAACCTCACAAAAGTGACAATTTGGTAATGACAAATTGGTAACAACAAAAAAGTGACAATTTGGTAATAAATATTTGATATCGTCATGAAAGTGACAATTTGGTAAACGAAATAAAAGTGACATTATGTAAAATTGTTTAATTTTTAGTTTTATATTCAATTGAAGATAATTGATTCTAGGAATCTTTTATTTCTGCACAAAAGAAATCCGCCAAAAATAATTGTAAAATTCGCAATATTTTCTAAAAACCACGTTTCAACCTGCACTTGTGTCATATACTGCAGGAAGAGGAGACTTTGATCATGAACTACTTATTCATCACCACTTCTAGTGGTGGCAAAATGTCACAAGATTCAGAAGGATTTAAATACTACAACAAGAACGGACTTTAAGTATGTCAATGTTAGGAAGTTATTAATGTTACTTTTTATATGTAGTTACCAAACTGTCCCTTTTATAATCAACATTTGACATTTAAGAGGATGCAGTGCTTGGCCCCTAGCCCATCCTAGCCGCAGCGCTCGGCCCAGAAATTGTCTTAACCTAACCTAAGCCAAAATGATGTGAGAAACAGCACATTATTTGACATTTAATAGCCCGCAGCGCTCGGCCCCCTAGCCCACACTAGCCGCAGCTCTCGGCCCATAAATTGTCTTAACCTTACCTAACCTAACCCAAAATATTGAGAGAGACAGCACATTATTTATCATCTAATAGGCCGCAGCACTCGGCCCCCTAGCCCATCTTAGCCGCAGCGCTCGACTCAGAAATTGTCTTAACCTAACCTAACCCAAAATAATGAGAGAAACAGCACATTATTAAACTTTTAATAGGCCGCAGCGCTCGGCCCCAAAGCCCATCCTAGCCGCAGCGCTCGGCCCAGAAATTGTCTTAACCTAACCAAACCCTAAATAATGTGAAAAACAGCAAATTATTAAACATTAAATTGAATTAAATTTAACTCTAAACAAATTGTCACTTTTTTGTAGTTACCAAAATGTTATTACCAAATTGTCACTTTTCTGTAGTTACCATATTGTCATTACCAAATTGTCACTTTTATGACGTTACCAATTTGTCATTACCAAATTGTCACTTTTGTGAGCTTACCAAATTGTCATTACCAAATTGTCGTTACCAAATTGTCACCTTACCAAATTGTCATTACCAAATTGTCATTACCAAATTGTCATTACCAAATTGTCATTACCAAATTGTCATTACCAAATTGTCATTACCAAATTGTCATTACCAAATTGACATTATCAAAAATCCGCCCGTCTTTAGAAATTTATCTCATTCAAAAATTAATTCCGTGCTATGTTCATCTTTGTTTAAGTTTAATTTAACTTATTTATAGTTTTGACAACAACTAATAATTTTATATTAGTTCTTGATATAATATGAATTGTATAAAATGTAAAGAAAAAATATCAAATAGTAGTTTTCATTTACTTTTATAAACGAATAAATTTTAGACTGAATTATTATAATAAGATGGAAAGCACGTACAAATGTATTGACAGCTAGTTGAAAACCATCTGGAAGGTGTAAAAGCTATAAATTCTATGAAACAGTATATGTTTTGAAATTTTTCAAATTATTAAAAACATTTATTTGCTTAGCTTGAAGAGGAAGAAAGGAACAACACAAATTCCCCTGCATTCATTCTTCAAGAGTCTGATATTCGGTAAGTTTTCTATGCTTTTTGAAGAGTCTGATATTCGGTAAGTTTTCTATGCTTCTTGAAGAGTCTGATATTTGTTAAGTTTTCTTTTTAAGAGTCTGATATTCGGCAAGTTTGCTCTATTTAATAGTGATATTCAGCAAGGTTTTTAAATTTCATGTTCAGTAAGCTTAGCTTTTTAAAGAGTAAACATACTTTTTTCTTAGGTAACATAATCAGATTTCTCAAAAAGACTCAATATTTTTATTTTAAATTGATTCAACTTAATAAATTTTGTCTATGAAGGTATCTTGTGGAGAATATCTGGAATAGTAGATCTGTTCTCAGTGGGAATGCAGATTTATTCGACCTCAGATACAAAATTAAATGTTAGATATACGTTTATTATTATAGATAATATGAAAATTCGTTATTTTTTTTGTCTAAATATAAGATATTAAATAAGTGTTTCAAAGAAATTGATTAAATCTCTGTATTGTAATCCTGCTTATTTTGTTCTTTATTTGTATCTTGTACAGTAAGTCCAAGAAAGCTGTGGAATACAAAGGCGACTGTTCAACTCAAATTAAGATTTTAAATATGAACATGAACCAAAGTAATTGTGGTGTTGCACTCTGCTCAGACCAGATACACCTAATAGGTTAACTGTTAACCTTCTGCTAATATTATTAAATACACATAAGATTGCTTAAATCTATTTCAATTTCACAATTTTTACCAAATTCGAAATTTCAGTGGGTGATACAGTGAATCCCAGATATATGAATACATAGCAAGAGTTTTTATAATGTCGTAGTCTCAACATATTAAAGATCAAATGACGCGGAAAAACGAGTTTAATATATCAATTGCTGTTCTTCATATTTCAGGGTTATTAATTTACCTTGAATTAAAAATAAAAAGTTGTTTTTTAGAATTATCAAAAAACTTACATGACTTTACAATGATATTTGAATATATTTTCAAAATCTTGAACCTGCGAACATCTCATGGCAGCTTTCTTTTTGTGCAGACCAATGAGGAAGCATTCTGCATTACAGCTGTCATATTTATAAAAAATTAATTTCAAGGCCTGAAATATTGATATATATAACTCATTTTTCCGCTGCATTTGATCTTAAATATGTTAAGAATACGACATTATTATAAACTATTGCTATGCATTCAAATATATGCTGGGATTCACTGTAAATACTAATGAGTTTTAGTATTAGTTTTTTTAACTATCCTACAGTATATTTCCTAATGACCTTTAAAATAAATTTGTCATTGCAACAATAAAAAACCCAGCGTTCATGTCATTTTATTTATTAGGGAATGTGAGAAGGAGTGGACCCCTTGGAACTGTATCCTTGTCAGCAGAGAGGAGAATAGGATACATAGGAAACTAGGAGGACTAAACAGGTATACACAACCTAGAACTGTATTGGTAGTAGAGAGAAGAATAGGAAACTAGGAGGACTAAACAGGCTACGCAAGGTATGGACGCAGCCTGTAAGACTTATTAACTTCTTGTTTAATTGCTACCCTAGTAAGGAGGATCTACTGAAGGGACATGGACCTCTTCTCGTAGAAATTATTGATATTGTTTAGGTGCTACCCTAGTAAGGATGATCTACGAAAGGATATGGAGTATGGACCTCTTCTAGTAGAAATCATTGTTATTGTTTAGTTGCTACCCTAGTAAAGAGGATCTACTGAAAGCGTATGGACCTCTTCTAGTAGAAATCATTGTTATTGTTTAGTTGCTACCCTAGTAAGGAGGATCTACTGAAAGCATATGGACCTCTTCTTGTAGAAATCATTGCTGGAAAACATACCCTTGCAAGGTAGACCATACTACTCTTAAACCTGAAGATTGCCGTCGATTTTTTGCTTAATGATTTTGTAATTTGTACCCAAATCATTTCTTTAAAGGGGGGATTACCATTTAAAGTAAAATATCAGTTTTCACAATTACAATTATTACAACGTTTTTTTAATTAAAAGTAAGAACGATGATGACACTAAAACCAAACTTTTTTATTTCTACTCGATATTTCTGTCAATATGATTTTTAAAAACATTTAGCTTCACAAACTCAAAAAATGTCTATGGACTTCTTGCGAGGTTTACGTAGCGTTTGCCACAAAATATTTTTTTAATCAAAATTTAGTCTAATTTCATCCTAAGCCACCTTATACTTTTTCATTGACTAAAATCTTAAATTAAAATTATGTAATCTATATATCAAAACAAGACATTCGTATAAATATATGTTGCCTATAGCCGGCCAAACGGCTGGACCGAATGAGCTGACATTTTTGTGGACACTCAGGGGTGGCCGGGGGGTGTTAAAGGCTAAAAAATCGAAATATTTTTTCTAAATAATTAAAACAAAATTTTGTTCAAAATTTTTTTTTCAAATTTATTTTTTCTTTATCTAGTATAATATAATATGGGGATTATAATCAGTTTATTTTTTATTTTTCAGGAACCATTTTGGAAAAATAGCATCCATGTCGATATTTGTTAAAGACGACAATCCTGATGTGATTCAGCTCCGTGGGGTTGGAATACAACCATCCTGATTTCTCGTTCTTGATGATTATGTTATTTAATTTAAAATAAAATTTGTGATTTCTTAGTGCCTCGAAAAAATGTCTGTGGCCTGTGGGGAATCGTCTACCAATTAATATTAGCCCACGCAGTAGAAGTAATCTCAACTAACTCTCCATTTATAGTAGTATCTCCGATACACAACGATAACCTTAACAGCTCTGTCTGATCAAGACTTCAGGAGATATCTGTCGGATTCGTTAGACAATTCCAGCTGTGACTTCCTCGCCTAGCTATAGCCTGGGTAATCGCAGTCAATTCACAGCTCGGAAGTATTTAACAAATCCGACAGATATATAATATATATGCTAATAATTTTTAATTGTGATTTCTCTATCACGTGACTTGCGCATTGAGCATGGGAGAAAATCATTGTTATATTTAATAATCTTTACATCAAATTAACAAAATTTGGTCCAAACGGAAAACAAGCGTAAAAAATGGAGATATCGTTGCACATACGACTTACAACAAAACTGTTAATTAAATTCTCATCATATTTACAATAAACTATATCACTCTAAAATCTCAGTCTAAGTATTATTGCTCATTTTCTGCATCGTTGATGGTAGCCATATACTTGGACAGATCAAAATCCATCTCACAGTTGAGGACGGCTGTGAGAACAAACTCCGCTGTGAAAACCGGTTGTTTAGCTCGAAGAACGTCTGTTATAAGATGCATGTCCTGGTTACATGTCACTATCATGTAGTTAAAGTTACCACCCTAAACATAAATTAATTTTATCAAATCAATTCAAATTGAACTTTTAGGGAAAACCTACTTCAACAATGTCATATCGATGTGAATATGCCATCTCAAAATAAATTGAGGCTTTACGATTTGCAATGATTTCATTTTTTACAAAGCTGTTCAATATGCTTTTTTCGATAAAGAAAAAAAGCCGGTTATCCTCATTTTGAAGTTCTTATACGATTAAGCAAGAACTGTTTGCTTTGTTCTGTTCATTTCATTTTCACTTCAGCGGACAACCGCCTTAATCACAGATTCTAACTGTCATACATTTCCGTAGTTATTTAAAGAACGTTTTATGAATCATCCGTTAAGTCAAATTACGGTGTAACTATCAAAAATATAAATTTCTATGCAATTTCTTTTTTCTCACTAGCATTTGATTCCTTTATATGTATTATGTAATCACAACTTTCTTGTTTCTGTTTTACGAATAAAGTTAATTCCATTTGGATAGATATCTGCATCTCTGAGAACTTGAAAAAATATGAAATACGGATTATTTAATGCCATTAACAAAATTTTGTAGATCAGCATTATCCCAAATAGCAGTTCTGTTCCCAGCAGTGCTTAGGATCCATTTAATCCGGATCCGGATCCGGATCCAGGTCATTTCTTTAAGATTTACTGATTTTTTAACCAAAAATAATTTTCAAATATTGTTTTATTTTTTTTTCGCTTATTTTTATCCTATAACTTGATGAACCATTCAGAAATGAGGAAATTTTTATAATCTCTTTTTTCAAAAGTTCAGATTTGGGTTTTAGGAATATTAAAGTTTGTTTTTGCAGTTTTTGGTTGATTTTTTACCCCTTGGATCCGGATCCTAAGCACTGGATCTCAGTATTTAAAAACCTACCTTATTAATTTCCTTCATCTGCTGTGGGGATTTTCTTCTTCTACTTTCAATTCTAAATATAATAAAATAATTATAAAAGGGTTGAAAACTTGAAATGTAACTGGTATAAAAATAAACTTAGAAAATTATTTTTAAATATTTTTTTGCATCAGCAAAAATTTATACTTAAATTTTGAGATTGAAAGTTTGACTTTTTATGCATTAGAAAAACTTTTAGACTTGTGCAAAAAGGATCTGAGTGATGGCTAAATTTTAACTTTTATTTCAGAAAAAAATATTACCCTTTCAATGGACTGTAAAGGAAAAATGAAAGGAGGTATAGGCTGAAACCTAAGAACTTCAGAATTTGATCGAGACCAATAAGAGTTCAATCTGATGTTCCTGTCTCGATAAATTGATATAAAACTGTGTCTAAACTATACCAAAACTTAAATATACAAGATTTGGTATAAGATTCTAAGTTTTTAACTGATCATGTTAGCAAATACGCAACCAATCTGAAAAAGGCGATATCCCAGAGTAGCCTGAAAAAACTCAGGTTTGCTCCTATTATTATTCGAATTTAATCCTTTTTCATTTTTAGAAGATATAATTGATAAGATAATTAATACGTCCGTATCAAGTGACCAGAACTTCCACCAATTGCAGTGCAGTATCATTGTCACGTGTCTCCGTCTGTATCACGGTTTGACACAGTTTAATAACTCCTAAAGTTCTTAGGTTTCAAGCCTGTACCCCCCCTTTCATTTTTCCTTTACACTCAACCTTGTCTGTGATACTATTTCAATTATTATTATTATCATTGAAAATATCGAGCTTTTTATTTGAAAAAAAAACAGACTAAAAAGCTAAATTTTTTCGGAAACACATATTGTCCTTTTCAATTTTCATGATTATCATTGCAAATGCCGAGCGTTGAAAAAACAGACACAATTTTTGATTATTAACATTCTCTGAAAGGCTGACATTTAATGAGAATAAAGGTAGGAAAAGAGGTGGGAGGGGGATCAGATATACATTACCTTCCACCAGCTGCTGTAATAATATGGTTTATCACACGAGAACAAGGAGGTACATTCGGTGTTACATAAAATATCTAAAAAAAATTAAATTACATTTTTTTTGAAAATAAATTTTAGATTGCTATATTTCTGTAAGCGTCAAATACAGAGTGTAACACTTAACATACAACTTGACAGTTTAAATGCCATGAAGATCGTCTTTTATTCTAGAAATCATTGGCGGCATTCAGTCGTTAACCAAAGTTTACAAGCAGTATTCTAGAAACCATAAAAATATACCACTAGTCCTGACATTTCCGAAATGCAGTCTGTTCTATTTAGCTTAAAAAAGTATCAGAGATTCAAGGTGTACCACGAAACATGACACGTCAACCTTCTTTAACATATATGATTCTTGAAACAATATTATTCTAGTCCTGGTGGTCCGCCTTTCTGTTGTGTCAACATTACCAGAGATATTAAGAATTTCGTTCAGATTTCAATTTTACTAAAAAAAACAAAAATTGTCGAAATCTGAACGAAAATCTTCATATCTCCGATAATGTTGTAAGCACAAAAAAAGGTAGACCTCATTTTGGAATGCCAGGACTAAAAATGAAGAATGAATGAAAAAAATTTAACCCTACCTTCTCGGAGAATAAACAAGATTGCCCGAAGAATATAAAAGATGTAACCCTACCTTCCCGTAGAATAAACAAGATTGCCCGAAGAATACAAAGGATTTAACCCTACCTTCCCGGAGAATAAACAAGATTGCCCGAAGAATACAAAAGATTTAAACCTACCTTCCCGGAGAATAAACAAGATTGCCCAAAGAATACAAAAGATTTAACCCTACCTTCCCGGAGAATAAACAAGAATGCCCAAAGAATACAAAAGATTTAAGCCTACCTTCCCGTAGAATAAACAAGATTGCCCGAAGAATACAAAGGATTTAAACCTACCTTCCCGGAGAATATTTTGTTTCTGTCTGGATTCTTCATAAGCTTTGATAAACTAAACTGATACTTCTCTTCAAACTAAAAAAGAGGAATTGCGATAAAATTCTTAAAAATCTAAAAATGATTTTATTGAAGAGTCTAGAACAGAAGGTCTAATTAAATGTTAAAGTCTGAAACAACTTTCAATAAAAACACTAATTATTTTTGAGATTTTTGGTTCTAGTAAATGTCATCATTTTTTTTAACAAACATTAAAGGGACTTTAGACGTAATTTGAGTTGCACTCTATTTAAAATTCACCAAGGTTTGATGTCCATGTTTAATGTGTCAAATAATTCTAGTTGAAATATATTTGAACCTACCTGAGGACTTGAGATTAGAAAATCCTTTTCTGGAAGCCATCGACCAGCTTTTTTACTTTCTCTAATCCATTCAGGTGTCAATATATACCTAAACATTACATTCAGGTGTCAATATATACCTAAACGTTACATTCAGGTGTCAATATATACCTAACATTACATTCAGGAGTCAATATATACCTAAACATTACAATCAGGTGTCAATATATACCTAAATATTACATTCAGGTGTCAATATATACCTAAACATTACATTCAGGAGTCAATATATACCTAAACATTACAATCAGGTGTCAATATATACCTAAACATTACATTCAGGTGTCAATATAAACCTAAACATTACATTCAGGAGTCAATATATACCTAAACATTACATTCAGGTGTCATTATATACCTAAACATTACATTCAGGTGTCAATATATACCTGAACATTACATTCGGGGATCAATATATATGTAAACATTACATTCAGTAGTCAATATACGTAAACATTACATTCAGGAGTCAATATATACTAAACATTACAATCAGGAGTCAATATATACCTAAAAATTACATTCAGGAGTCAATATATACCTAAACATTACATTCAGGTGTCAATATATACCTAAACATTACATTCAGGAACTGTTTACTGGAGACTACTGTATGTATTACCTAACGGTGGGAAGCGCCATCATAAAATTATTTGTTCGTTCCAGCTTCGGCATTATTAGATGTGATACTTCAGCAGGTAGGGTGGTATACTCAGCATACATATCCTAAAATATCAATCAATCAATCAATCAATCAATCAATCAATCAATCAATCAATCAATCAATCAATCATAAATACATCATTCAATCGATTAAACAAACAATCAACCAAACAATCAACCAAACAATCAATCGTCGATCAGGTTTTACTTAAGCAGGCAGGGTGTTATACTCCGCATACAAATCAATCGATCCATCAAGTTCAGTTAAGTCTGTTGAATATTACCGTGAGCAGATGATTGAGTTCCTTCCTCTCCTCTCCTTCCATACTACTAAACATTATCCTGGGGGGTGTTCCAACCTTAAAATAAATAAATAAATAAAAGATCATCCATCATTCTGTGGAAATCAGGGCCGAGTCCCCCTCATAAATACCCGCCAAGTCTTGAACAATATCAATTAATACATAAGCTCATGATATGAACAAATCATTTTCGACCATAGGTGTCCAGGGGGTGGGGCGTAAAAACCCAAACTTTGACATTAACCAACAGAATTTCCACACCTTTATTATTCAGTTAACAAAAAAAAATCATTGACCCATCCTTCTAAAAGAATGAAATAATTTTATTAAAAGAAGTTTTTCCATTTGAATCTTCTCGACCTCAAATTTTGTACATTCTGAAAGAAGGCAGAAATTTTGCACACAGCCTTCGTTTTTTTTCATCCAAACTAGACTGAAAGGCAAGAATACTTTCTATCTCCATTTTGAACTCGATGAAACCAGAAAAGGGTTCATGACAAAATGAAGGTTTGTAGATTTGTGCTCTCAGATCTGAATTGTTTCATTCAGATAAGATTAAATGGTCAAAAATTATTTTCATGAAAAAAAGTGCCAAGAGTTGCCCGTAGAATTAAAAAAATTTTAAATGTTGAAAAAAATCAATAAGGTTTATTATTTAGCTAGATAACACATGAAACGTAAGAAAACTGAAACTAGGATAATTTTATAATGCTAGAAGTTTCACCTGGAATGGATTGTTTTCTTTTTCCTGTTCCTTCTCTTGTTCTCTGTCCTCCTGCTCTATGGGTTCTTCTTTCACAAGAGGTTCAGCAGACTTTTTCTCCGGTTCCACCGGAGAACCCGGAGCAGGCTTAATATTCTTCTATTAGTTCAGGAGTTCATATGAATGATTAGGTCTAGGTACTAGAAATTTATACCAAAGGTTTAGGTCTAGTTACTGTAAATTTATACCTAGGTCTAGGTACCGGAAGTATATACCTGAGGTTTAGGTCTAGTTACCGGAAGTAAATACCTGAGGTTTAGGTCTAGGTACCGGAAGTATATACCTGAGGTTTAGGTCTAGGTACCGGAAGTATATACCTGAGGTTTAGGTCTAGGTACCGGAAGTAAATACCTGAGGGTTAGGTCTAGGTACCGGAAGTAAATACCTGAGGTTTAGGCATAGGTACCGGAAGTAAATACCTGAGGTTTAGGTATAGGTACCGGAAGTAAATACCTGAGGTTTAGGTCTAGGTACCGGAAGTTTATACCTGAGGTTTAGGTCTAGGTACCGGAAGTCCTGTTACAGGGTCTAGATCAGATTCTCCGTCAATAAAGCCTCCTGGTTCCACTGGAGGTAAACCCTTAAATATGGATTGAATAAGGAAAAATTGAATACAATAGGATCGAATATTTGCCTTCCCGGATCCGCATAAAAACACAGATCGACTGGACTTACCCGGATCCCAGTGGTAAAATAAAAGAACAAAACCAAAACAAATGATCACTTTATTATTACCTGAGCCGCCCGTTCGTCGTTCAACCTCCGCCTTTTCTCATCCGCCTCACGTTCCTGTCTTTGCTTCTCCGCCTTTCGTTTAATCCGGGCCGGAGGATTCGCCTTGAACTTCTGATAGGTTTCCTGATAAGAAATATCAAACAGGTTAATTGGGATTCTTTAACTTTTGAACTAATGAACTATCTTACATAACAAAACAACGACTCAAGAGCCAATAAAATCATATCTCATGTTTGATTAATAAGCCATTCTTTACAGAAAAACTTAACTTTTCCGTTTTAAACCTTTGAACATGAGGAACAAACTCGATATTGAATTAAAAATGTACTTGAATTTAAAAGTAATCAAAATAAGGAATAGAAAAAACTTTCAAAAGCTTACGATATTGATTAATAAACAAACCAAAGCTCTAGAAATCATACTGGGCAGAATTTTATCTACTAAAGCAGGGGAGTAAAGTTCCAAACCGTGGTTGAGCGGGGATCTGACAATTATTATCAGGTTGGGGCAAATAACGATTTTTAACTTTGCTCCCCTGCATTGACTGGAACAAAGTGTTAAACTGACCGAGGTGACCCTGATGGGTAGCTTCCAGGCCTGTATGAGATGAGGAACGAGATTATAATCTATTCTCAGCGGTTCATCAGATTTAAACCCCTGGCATAGTTCAGGTAAAATCAATCAATCACACAAAAAAGTGAAAATTGAACCAGATCGGCACGCATACGTTGTTATTGAATTAATGGATGGTTTTCCCCAATAAATTTCATAGTGCCTAAAAATCTGATTTAAAAAAATATTTATTACTAAAAATATTGTCTTATTTGATTATTCATTTAAAAATATAAAATTTGTATAAATTATTAAGACATTATAAGAAACTATCATTAAATTTATTTTAATATCATTGAAAATAATAGAGAACCCTCATTTGTTAATGTTTTAAATAGAAAAATCATTGTTAAATAATTTATGGCATTTAATCTAACACTTAATTTTGGAACAAATAAAAATTTCGCAAATCACTAGAAAACGGTTTTATGTCAATTTCTCTCAATAGAAAGATTGGATAGATTTAAAACACTACCAATCTAAAGCTATTGTGATTAGGTATTTTTCACTTTTTGCAAATACTTTCTTAAAAACTAGAGAATTGTTTGTTTAAACCAACTATTCCTGGTATTTAGCATTACTCATGCACTGAGCTGCATTCACGGATCCAAACATAACATCGTTCAACCATTGGATAGATACTGCTGGTACCTTCCACTCACGGGCTTTATCAAACTTCTCTCCGATTGGTCTAAAAAAACATCAATTAATCAATGCTATTTCAATCAATGAATTAATCAGAGTTTTAGGAATGTCCTATTACCATTATTATTATTATTATTATTGTCAACAAACCTACAGTTAAAGTACCATGTCATATATGTAACTCAAGATAAAATTACTAAATCAAGAATGAGCAATCAATATCAATCAACCATTGGATCAAATAAATGGTCAATACATCCAATATTTAATAAGTTCAATAAAAAGTTCAATGAATTTACAACTTCCATAGATGTAAAACAATCAAACAATAAATAAGTTAATCCATATTTATCTCAAAAGATCAATTTATCCGTGCATTAGAAAATCCACTAATAAAACAACAAATCATTAAACCATTTATTATTATTTTTTAATCAGTGGTTTTATCAACCAAAACATTTAGTAATCAATTAAAAATAGATTTTCCATAACATCCATTAGTAAATTAAAGTTAATTAACGGGGACACATATCAAACAACAAAAGGTATTAAAAAAATGTTGTGTTTGAACAACTACAAAGCAATCAACAAAAAGTCAATAAAAAATTAGATATTATTTTGATCCGAAAAATCACAAACCAATCGACGAAAATTTTTAAATATTTCAGTTTCATGAGAAAAAAACTTACGCTTTACAGATAATTGCATGATTATGTTTTGTAAAGTAGTTGGTATACTTGGCACCAACCAGTTTAATCATCTCCTAAAATATTAAATAAAAATATAAATATTTGAATATTGATGTTTTGACAAGCAGTCCCATTAATATTGATGTTTAGACAAGCAGTCCCATTAATATTGAGGTTTAGACAAGCAGACCCTTTAATATTGATGTTTTGACAAGCAGTCCCATTAATATTGATGTTTAGACAAGCAGTCCCATAAATATTGATGTTTTGACAAGCAGTTCCAATAATATTGATGTTTAGACAAGCAGACCCTTTAATATTGATGTTTAGACAAGCAGTCTCTTTGATATTGATGTTTAGACAAGCAGTCCCTTTATTATTGATGTTTAGACAAGCAGTCCCTTTAATATTGATGTTGTTACAAACAGTCCCTTTAATATTGATGTTTAGACAAGCAGTCCCTTTAATATTGATGTTGTTACAAACAGTCCCTTTAATATTGATGTTATAGACAAACAGTCCCTTTAATATTGATGTTGAGACAAACAGTCTCTTTAATATTGATGTTAAGACAAACAGTCCCTTTAATATTGATGTTTAGACAAACGTTCTCTTTAATATTGATGTTTAGACAAACAGTCACTTTAATATTGATGTTGAGAGAAGTAGTCCCTTTAATATTGATGTTTAAACAAACAGTCCCTTTAATATTGATGTTGAGAGAAGTAGTCCCTTTAATATTGATGTTTAGACAAACAGTCTCTTTAATATTGATGTTTAGACAAACAATCCCTTTAATATTAATGTTTATACAAACAGTCTCTTTAATATTGATGTTTAGACAAACATTCCCTTTAATATTGATGTTTAGACAAGCAGTTCCTTTAATATTGATGTTTAGACAAACATTCCCTTTAATATTGATGTATAGACAAACAGTCTCTTTAATATTGATGTATAGACAAACAGTCCCTTTAATATTGATGTAAAGACAAGCAGGCTCTTTAATATTGATGTTTAGACAAACAGTCCCTTTAATATTGATGTTTATGCAAACTGTCCCTTTAATATTGAATATTAACTGACCTTAACGTAGTCCCTGTCCCTATCCTGGAAGCCGGTAAGGGTAAGAATCATATTTGTGCAAGGAGGTTCGAACTGGGAGGGCAGGGGAAAATGAATAGCTTTCCATGGGGGCAGAACCTAATATAAAATACAATTAAAACCTTCCTCGTTATGAATTTTTGAAAAAACTTAAGCCTTACCTTTTTCCGTTTAATTGTATCGTTAAGCCAGAAAGCAGTTACTAAACGCTTCCCTTCAACTCGTCCTTGCTGCGCTAGCGCAGACTTCTGAGAAGAACAGAGCACGTGGGTGACATGGGTCATCGGAGAGGTCGGCGATGATTCTATTTCTCCTCCATACTGTGTAATCGTTTTCTTCCAGCTAGGTACATATTTAGAATGTTCAGAACTTTCCTTAAAATACTCAGATATATATAAAGTACTACAAAACATGTTAAAGGGGATGTCGGGGGAATCACTCAGTGTCGAAAAATAGAAATTTAAAATGATGACCATCATTTAAGTAAGTATGTAATTGATTCGGAAAGTCTAAAGAAAATATTAAAAACAAAGAGTGCAATGCCCGATTTACAACGGTATCCGTTAAACCTTTATCTGATCAAAAAAGTGGAAGTAATTTTTAGATAAAGAGAAGATGAAAGCTTAATCTCAAACTTTCTTATTACAACAAAGCTTTCAATGCTACCGTTGTAAATTGGAATTAGCCCTTTTTAAATGGAGGGTCACTTAAAATTACGGCAATAGGCCCCTTAAATAAGCAACTATCATCCCAGTTCCAATAATAAAAAAACCACATCAAAACAATGGTTCCCTACCTGATAATCTGCAAACACAAAAATACATCCCAGTAAGCAAAGATCAGGAGGCAACCTTGTCTCAAGGGCGTGTCCCAGGAAGGGAGGAAGGCGTTGCTGTGGGATTCCAGGGACCTGAGCTCTCATCCCAACCATCCCAGGGACAGCTGGCCTTGGAGGGAATCTCGGAGGCATCCCTGTGACCTGCTGCATCCCTCCAGGCTTACCGCTGATTATGCCTGAATGAGGATGTTGGGGAGAGTTTGTAACATTTCTTAAAGCATTGTTTCTTTGCTGCATAGCTAACATTTGCTGCTGCTGCTGTTGTTGTTGTTGTTGTTGTTGTTGTTGCTGCTGTTGCTGCTGCTGTTGCTGCTGCTGTTGTTGTTGTTGCTGTTGTTGTTGCTGCTGTTGTTGTTGCTGCTGTTGTTGTTGCTGCTGTTGTTGCTGCTGTTGTTGTTGCAGCAACTGCTGCTGGTTTTGCTGAGGTGCAACAACTCCTTGCTGTAGCTGTTGGTTCATCATCTGAAGACGTCCAGCAGCTGAGGTATCAGGGGAGAGTCCTGCTGGGGATTGAGGGTGTCCTGGAGGTAAAGGAACTCCCCCAGGACCTATCCTGCTTGAAAGCATGTTTTGTAAGGCAACTTTTGTCTGGCTTTGTCCATTCGGACCCATCATAGCGTGCTGGGTGGCAAGAGCTTGTTGCTGAGCACTGATTGGTCCCTGCTGAGTTGAAACTGCTGACTGAGAGGTGGGATGAATTGGTGAAACATTCTGCTGGGACATAGCAGCAGTTTGCTGAGGAGACCCCTGTTGTGCAGATGTTTGATCCACACTGCTCTGCCCCTCACCTATCTGCTGCTGCCTCTGCATCTGCAACCGCTGAAGATGTTGAATCTGTTGTGGTGTGCGGGGGACCTGAGCCAGAGCAGGATGGGTTTCTCCGCTCCAAGACGGACGAACCTGTCCAACAATATTAGTTCCAGGACTTGTCATCCTGCCTGGAGATACATGACCCGGGGACATCTGATGCATGGGGGAGGAGGGTTGCGGAGAGCTAGGTACTGGACCAGAGGGACTATTCTGCCAAGGGGTTGGAACCTGGGCTTGATTCATCAAAACAGAGCCCTGACCAGAAACTGCTTGCTGGTGAACCATCCCCGGTTGTGGTTGAGGCATACCAGGCTGTTGGACCATCCCCGTCTGCTGTTGCATGCCTGGCTGTTGAGCCATTCCTGGCTGTGGAATCATGACCTGCTGCTGTTGGTGTCCTAGGACCTGTCCTTGTCCCTGCTGTTGAGCTAGCAGCTGTCTTTGCTGCTGTTGAAGCTGTATCTGGGCTCGAATCTGAGCTTCTCTTTCTTTCTGCAACTTCTGGATATACAAAGCTCTATCCTGTGGATTCATATTCTGGAGCATTGATCTTTGCTGTTCTGTCAGCTGGATTGTATGTCGTTGAAGTTGGACGTTTTGTCCCCACTGCGCATTAGGGTTGGGGAGTAGCAGGCCTCTGAAAACAAATTTCAATTAAGATATTGATTGATTTAAAAAGCCTTTCAAGTTTAATTGCATATATTTTTCCATAAAGTTAGGTCAAGTTAATTATATATGGGTAGTTATATATTATGTATATGTATAAATACATAGTTAAAAATAATGTAATAATTTAATAACTCTTTAAAACTTTGTAATGAAGTACACTGTACAAGTGAACAATTTTCTAGATTCATTTTCAAGTAGGAATAAAGTATTCTTCCAGGAATTTTAAAATATTAAAAATAAAAATTCAAAATGTAAACGAAGAGGGTTTAGATAGGACAGGTTTAATTGTAAAGATATATTTAAAAAAAAAAAAAATATCATCAAAGATAGATAAAAACAGCAAAATTAACGAAAATAGTTTTGATTAATTATAAAAATGATAAAATACCTCTGGGCTAAATACTGTTGTTTCTCTCTAGGGTTCATATTACTAAACTGCTGCCGTTGTTCAGGTGTCAGCTGAGTTATATGCCTCTGAATAATCTGCTGTTGACGCTGCATATGAGGAGTCATTGGTCTTGGTTGTCCAGGCACCATCATTCTCTGCTGTTGCATCATCTGCTGCTGTTGAGCACTCCACTGCTGCTGTTGAGGTTGTCCATGAAACTGTCCTTCCTGATTCCATTGCTGTGCTGGACCCTGAGGTCCGGAGACCTGGCCTTGAGGTAGACTAACAGACTGACCTTGAAGTTGACTTTGCTGCTGAACAAGAGGTTGAGGAACACCAGGAGTTTGCTGTTGAACTATAACCTGTCCCTGGCTTGTCTGTGGATGTTGTTGTTGCTGTTGTTGTAAAAGCTGCTGTTGTTGCTGCTGCTGCTGAAGCTGTTGTTGTTGATGTTGTTGCTGCATATGCATCTGTTGCTGCTGCTGTTGCAACCGAAGCTGTTCATGCTGTTGAAGGATTGCTGGATGTGGTTGACCTTGTTGATCAACTCCTCCCTGCATCCTCACCTGTCCTCCTTGGACAGTGAACTGTTGGGATCCCTGGATCCGAACAACCTGATGGGGTGCTCCAGGTACTTGGTGAGGGGCTCCATGAAGCATTCCAGGCATCTGGGGTCTGTTAATGATTTGTTGACCTTGAACTAAAGTATGACCAGGACGGATCTGCTGTGCCATCATTGGATTCTGCTGTGTAGCCTGGTTGCTCTGCTGTGAGACCATTATACTTTGTCGCGAGACCATGCTCTGCTGTGAACCAGGAACGTTCTGCTGTAAACTAGGGGTGTTTTGCAGCTGCATCATTGAACTCTGCTGGCCAATCATACTTCCATCCTGAGCTTGGTGGCCTGCTCCAGTATTCTGCTGCTGAGGTTGACCTAGTTGTGGACCTGGCTGCTGACCAGGCTGCTGTCCTAGTTGATGACCTGACTGCTGTCCTTGCTGTTGATCCAGTTGCTGTCCTTGCTGTTTACCAGGAGGCTGTCCTAGCAGTTGTCCTGAATGCTGTCCTGAATGTTCTGGTTGTTGACCAAGCTGCTGGCCAGGATATTGTCCAGGCTGCTGTCCTGAATGCCCTAGTTGTTGACCAAGCTGTTGGCCATGAGGTTGTCCAGACTGCTGACCAGGCTGTTGTCCACCCGGTTGACTAGACTGTTGACCAGGCTGTTGACCAGGCTGTTGTCCAGGCTGTTGTCCAGGCTGTTGTCCGGGCTGTTGAGCTGTTGAACAGGCTGTTGACCGGGCAGTTGACCGGGCTGTTGACCGGGCTGTTGACCAGGCTGTTGACCAGGCTGTTGACCGGGCTGTTGACCGGGCTGTTGACCGGGCTGTTGACCGGGCTGTTGACCGGGCTGTTGACCGGACTGTTGACCGGGCTGTTGACCAGGCTGTTGACCAGGCTGTTGACCAGGCTGTTGACCAGGCTGTTGACCAGGCTGTTGACCAGGCTGTTCCAGGCTGTTGACCATTCTGTTGACCAGACTGTTGTCCCGGTTGCTGTCCTTGTTGTTGAAGAAACTGCTGTCCATGTTGTAGTTCAAGCTCCTGTCCTATTTGTTGACCAGGCAGTTGACCAGGCTTTTGTCCAGGCTGTTGACCATTCTGTTGACCAGACTGTTGTCCCGGTTGCTGTCCTTGTTGTTGAAGAAACTGCTGTCCATGTTGTAGTTCAAGCTCCTGTCCTATTTGTTGTCCTGGCTGCTGTCCTGGCTGCTGACGAAGCTGTTGTACAGACTGCTGTCCCAGCTGTAGTCCAGGCTGCTGTCCAAGCTGTTGTACAGACTGCTGCCCAGGCTGCTTTCCAACCTGTTGGTCAGACTGCTGTCCCAGCTGTTGTCCTGTTTGCTGTCCAGGTTGCTGTCCAGCTTGCTGTCCTGGTTGCTGTCCTGGTTGCTGTCCTGGTTGCTGTCCTGGTTGCTGTCCCACCTGTTGTCTTGTCTGCTGTCCTGGGGGAAGTCCTGACTGTTGTCCAGATAACTGTTGAAGCTGTTGATTGGCTATGTGATGTTGATCAGACTTCGAAATGGTATTTTTCTGTTGAGTGCTGAGAACCGAGGTTTGCTCTTGACCTAAAACAGAGCCACCAGGGCCTCCGGGGCGGGTCTGTTGTTTCATTTGGAACTGCTGAGATAGTTGATGAGGGTTTTGAGGACGGAGTTTAGTCTGAACTCCAGCTGGTGTTCCTCCCAAATGTTGCTGGACACCTGGAAAGTTCTGCTGTCTAATCCCATGTGGTAAGGTCGGCCGGACCATTGATAGTCTTGTAGGTGCTTGGAGGCGGACAGGTTGAGGTGGGCCAGGCAGACGAACAGGCTGAGGTGGACCAGGTAGTCGAGAAGCGTTAGGTGGTCCAGGTAAGCGTGTAGGTTGGGGTGGAACCGGAAGGCGTGGTGAGTTGACTTGAAGCTTACTCGCCTGGCTGGTGACTTTTTCTACTTCCTGAGATGTTACCGCAGGTTTCTCCGTTGTCGGAGCAGGTACAAATACTGGTTTGGGACGGTTCTCCGGTAGGTTCAAGAGACGGGGATGATAAAGCGCTTCCTCGCTCCTCGCTCCTGCTTTGATTGAGTCAAGAATCCAATCTGGAGATACTGGTTTCAGGTTTGGTAATGTTAATGCGCTGCTATATATTTCTCCTCCCGGCTTACTGGTCACTAAATGTGTCACATCGCTGCTCAATTCCTAAAATAAATGTTATAGAATCGTGGTCATATTTTAGTTTTATATTTAGTTAATCAATCCATTTAATCCGAACTTGCAAGGCTTTAAATTTGACAGGAATAAACCTGAAAACTTATGATGCAAAAAATTGGTTGGCTGGGTGGTGTGATGGGTATTAGAGTTAGGAAAAATCTAGATTCCAACACTGATTCTAATCAACAATTTATCCTACTAATCTTAGCATAGAATACCTTTGAAACCCTGCCCCCGTTGAAGTTAACAATTCCCCAAAGTGAATCTATATCCTCAGAATCCAGGTTTATCAAGCATATCTTCAATCCATGGAACACTCGGCTTTCAGACGGAGAAAATCCCTGAACAAAAACAAGATTTGATTGACTGATAAAAGTAAAAGTTTATTTCTATGTGCCATACAATTAAAAATCAGATAATGTAATTCATTTAAAACACAAGTTTTTTGTTAAATTAAAAAGAAGGTAAGTAACATATAAATTGTACACTGCAAATGAAAAATTCAATAAGGGTTTATTTTAGGTTGGGAGATACGAAAATATTAAGAATCTTAAAAGAAAATAATTTAGTGATTTTTATATTTATAATTGAAAAATTTAACGCTATTAATCATGCCTGTAGTGGGAGAATCTTTTTGCAGTGTAGAGACGCTAGAACCCAATCTTGAATCACTGCAGGTACATCAAGCATTTCAGTAGCCTAAACAGTAGTATTAATATCATTCCAATTTTCTGAGATCAGTCTTTTTCCTTCGATGCTTTTACTTCAAAAATTCGCAAGTCATTCTTATTTCGAACTCACACTTGAAGTATTCCGATAGAAAAACGGATGCCGTCCTGAGCTCTTGCATCAGAACTCATTTAAGTGAGAACAGTTTACTTGGATAGTCCCTACTAGTAAATACATCATTCATTTCATTGTTGAAATTACGTGGATAGTCCCTAATAGTAAATACCTCATTAATATTACTGTTGAAATTACGTGGTTAGTCCCTACTAGTAAATACCTCATTAATATTATTGTTGAAATTACGTGGATAGTCCCTAATAGTAAATACATCATTAATATCATTGTTGAAATTACGTGGATAGACCCTACTAGTAAATACATCATTGATATCATTGTTGAAATTACGTGGTTAGTCCCTACTAGTAAATACCTCATTAATATTATTGTTGAAATTACGTGGATAGTCCCTAATAGTAAATACATCATTAATATCATTGTTGAAATTACGTGGATAGTCCCTAATAGTAAATACCTCATTGATATCATTGTACTCCGGATTGACTCCAACAATGCAGTGTGTGTTGCCTCCACTGAGATATGCTGTCTTCTTAGCTCCACCAGCTGCTAGCGCTTTAGTAACCTATTTATATTTCCGTTAGAATTAATATCTTATTACGACTACTAATTAGACTTCATCTGGCAAAATTTTCCCAGTATAATTTTAATACGTACAGCCAAAAAATATTTTTTGTTGTCGTCACATTTAGCGATGATAGAGATTAAGACGTTCGGATTTACTAAAACATTCTTAAAAAAAATAAAAATATTAAGAAAAAAATACCTTTTCCAGTTGCATTTTATTCAAATTTTTATTAATTTATATTAACAATTATTTTGGATATGTTTAAGTAGGATATACATAAAATGGATTAATAAAAACTTTAGTGTTATTATTTTATTTACCTTTTCCTCAAGATCGCCGGTTGGAAAGTATTTGACCTCTGCAAAGAATCCCCCAACATGGGGGGCCTCGAGGTCGGTAGTTAACCAGACACTAATCATAATATTCTCATTCTATCTGAAGTTAGTGGAGTTTAAATTTTATTAAAGGGACTGTTTATACATTTGAAACTGAAGATTAGATACCAACTATCAATAAGGCTTCAAGTTATAAAATAAGGCTACCTTGTCCATATAAGAAGGTGAAATTGTGCGTTGTTCAAAATTTTAAAGAGAAAAAATTATTGTTGCTTTTTTCAGACTTATACAGACTAGAGAAGATAATTCCAACAATCAACTCCAGTTTTGAAACTGGCAATGTAAAACTTTTGATAATCAGTTGAACCCCAAAAATATCTGTAAATAAATATCGAACCCTTAAATAATCAGCATGGCATTTCCTTCATCAAATATGTGAACAGTCCCTTTCAGACAAGCAATATATTGCATTCTGCTTCCAATCATTTTATAACATATATATATATATATATTTAAATATTTTATACCCAGGCAAGCAAAATAAGAGCGTTAGTAAGTCTGTATAAAGATCAGATTACACCAGAGGTTTAAAGGAAAACTATTGTTATTGCAGGGTACATTAGTTCTAAAGCTAATATCCCCTGTATTGAGAATAGCACTACAGTACATTATCCAATACAAGTATTTCAAAACATGAAATAAAATAAATAAGTATAATTCATAAATTTTGTCTTTTTCTAAAACTATTCTGTTCAAGCAGTCTATGCGGGAAAGAATGGCCTGGACGCGTTAATAACATCTAAAAGATGAGAGTTTATGGCATTTATGAGAAAAGGATTGTCAGCGGCATTGTACTTGACCTTTCATTTTACAACTACAATAAACGATTCACATCAGTATCCCTTGAACCTCTAATTTAAATGAAAAGAAACAAATCTCTTACACTTTCTTGCCATGTTTTGCAGATATTCACGAGTCACTTTAAAATCGAATATTGGATTTCTAAAATGAAAGTTCAGCGGAAGTTTCATTGACAGTCCCTTTTAAGTGGAATAAAATTTAGGCAATCTGTTTCCAACACCACAGATTAAAAGTGTGTTTACACTCAAGTTACACAAAACATGTGCAACTATAAATTTGTTAATTATAATGTGCAACTTTCCTAATTTGTTCTTTGGTCTATTTTGAAATATCATAAAATTGTTCAAAATAATCAAAATGAGTGCCTAATGCCCGAATGCCACACAATAATAATTTCTTTAACCCCAGCTCACTGGCGTAGTTAATGTATAGTTATATTAACAATTTACTTGAAATCACAGAAAATTAAATTTACTCCATGTACATGTACAATGTACATTTTACACTGTATGTACGTCGTAAAGGATGCCCTTCACATGTCTGTGTTCCAGGTTCCTGTTTCTTTACATGATCAGGGTTCCCAAAACATGTTGTTCACTTCTAGTGTACGTGTACAACAGGAGCCCCTCGGTTGTCATATTTCTTATAAATCTATTTTGTTAAGGAAGGTTCCGTCCATAGTTTGCAAAACCTTTAAATGGTATATCAGTTTTAACAGCTTTAGCAAAGGTTTCGTAAGGTCAGTGCTTAATATCCGGATCCGTTGGATCCAATACTTTACATTTTGGCTTCCGGGAACCGTATTCAAGGTTCTGGCACCAACGGTCAAAATATCAAAAAAAAACTTCAAAAAAAAGTTTACCTTTCACAGCCCAAATCTGAACTGTTTACAATTCTTCTTCAGTTACCAGATAATTAAATAAAAAAATGTTCATGCCCCGGATCAGGATCATTTTATTTTTTTAGTGCGAATCCAGGGTCCGGATCCGCATCAAAATCAAATGGATCCTTATCACTACCTAAGGATATGACGGAACCAAATTAATCCGAAAGAAATTTGAAACCCTGGTTGTCCCATAGCGTTCATTTAATATAGAACTCTATAGAAATTGGACTGGACAGTGGATAATAAACATTGTAACACTGTACAGTATACAGTGTACTATACACTGTACAGTGTATAGTACACTGTGCATTTTTCGTTTTTTCTTCTAAAACTCAAAATTTGTGGATAATGTTGTAACCTAAATAAATCTTATAAAAGACTTATTTTTGAAATGTTTCTTTTTGTGTGAAAAAATCAGTTAGAAATTACAAAATCCATAGCAATATTTCATCATTAGAAGAAAGAGAGAAAACGGCAATCATTCCACTGTTTTCTAGTTATTACTGTATGGTATTACTCGCGCGCAACAATTGAATATTTCCAAGAAAAACAAATATCTACAGAATGAATAACATGTCGAAATTCGTCTGACCACAGATCTCGTCATTTCTACTGCATCTTGCAGTCGTCCCTACCCCTGTTCTGAACGAGCCTGTCCTCCGCTAACGTGACGTCCTGCTCAATTTGCTCGTCGTTGTCGATCATCCTCTCCTCCTCGTCCCGCTGCTGAACCAACTCATTCCGCTGGTTCACAACCAAAACCAGCTCCTTAAAGAAGAATATATCGTTCCCCAAAAAAATAGTAACAATTATCTAAAAAGAAACAATTTTAGCCTAGATTCGTGAAAATATTGTTAATTGACGACTTTAACACTTCAGAATTCCGAAAATTTCGGCGAAGGGGGGGGGGAATGGTGTGGATTCATTAATAAAAGCATTAATTTAAGTACCTGAAGTAATAACTCTTCTCTTTGTCGGTCTTCGTCTGTTTTCCTTCTTTCCTCCATATCAGAGTATTTTCTTAATTCCTCCTGGACATTATTCATTCATCTTGTATACAACTGTACAATGTGCTGTACAATCTAGCTATACATACTTGTCTGTTTGGTTTTTGTTTGTTTGTTTGTAATTGATAAACGTCAAAACGGCTGAACCGATCGGGACCAAATTTTTTATGAGACCTTACATGATCTCAGGGAAGGTTTATGGATGGTTAGAATTGAAAAAATGTCCTCTAAAATAATTTTATATTTCCACGAAAACAAATCGATAACAGAGCAACAATTAAAAGTTAAATAAAAAATTCCCCAAGTGTAACATAAAACAATATAATAAAGATCTATGTCTACAACTTTAACCCTGACCGACCTTCCCCTCTTCTTTTTTGTAAAATGAATGAACGTGTTCCTGAAGCATGTTTGATTTCTTCTGAAGATCGTCTTCCTTCTCCAGAATATTTAACTGCATCTGCCGCCTTTAAAATCAATATTTGAGTATTAATCAAAAATTTAAAAAGTACAATTTTCTTTAGTAAAAAGAACAATTTTCTAATCCATATTCCATATGTCTTTGCAACCTGATCGCGGAAAACTTTAACGTTTAATACTTTTGGCCTTTTAATCTAGTACAATTATTACGATATCAGGTTTAAAAGAAAAGAAAAGTATAAGGAGAGAAAAAAGAATTGAACCTTAGGAGAGCATTTTTCTTGTTGACTAGAGTAAACCATTGCTGCAGTAAAGCATCGTAAAGAAGTTGATCATCTTCCGCCACCTCGCGCAGTCGTTTGTCAAGTATCGCCGCTTGAAGATCGATCTCCTGTTGCTCGGCGTCCAACAGAGACATCTCGTTGTCGATAAACGATAATCTATTATCCTTCTTCGGTTTAGGCGTTGTACTTTTTTGTCTCATGATCACATTCGGCGATGTATTCTCTCTCTCCGGACTGATGGAGTCACATTTTTCAACTGATTCCCGCCGGGCCGCCGCCATTAAATCCTTGGCCTTCTGGCGATATTTAGAAACCGGTTTTGAAGAAACGTCTCCATTTTCTTCCTCCATCACTGTAGGAAGATCTAAACAATTAATCATTTAATCAAAAATATTTGGTTTGAAGAAATATTAATTAGTCAGGGGTGGAATCAAGGGGGGAGCTTAGTAACTAGANTTACCTGTAGCTGGTCGGTCATTATCTGTAGAACTCTAGATAATATTTTACCTGTAGCTGGTCGGTCATTATCTGTAGAACTCTAGATAATATTTTACCTGTAGCTGGTCGGTCATTATCTGTAGAACTATAGATAATATTCTACCTGTAGCTGGTCGGTCAGTATCTGTAGAACTTGTTCTAGAAAAGAGTTTAATATTTCCATCAGAGAATGACTTTCTTATTCCTATTGACGTAAATAATCTTGATTTTTTCTTCAGTTCCTTTTTCCGTTTTAAATTGTTTTAGCGTCTTTATTCGTTGTTGTTGTATTAAAAATAGGACAAGTATTAATGTAATAATGTTTGATTTACCACATTAGTTAACTGATTGACAGACAGAAAAGTTTGACTTATTTAAGAATGATAAATCGGTTGATCAGTTTGAATATTAGAGAACTGAAAGAAAACGGATTGATTGATTGATTTATGTTCCTGAACTGAAGCTTAAAGAGTCACCATTCATCTTATAGTTCTCATAGAGTGCATTGGTCTCAGCAGTTCCTGAACATGATTCACATTAAGAGGGACTGTCCAATAGTTCAAGACAAATTAGATAAAGGGTCTGTACACGATTTTTGGAAAGAAATTATAGGAAAAGAGGATAAAGCAGTGGTAAGGATCCGAATCCGTTGGATCCGCAAGATTTTGGCTTCCTGGATCCGGATACGGAAAAATATGGGGAAGAATCCAAGGATCCAAGGGGTAAAATATCTATCAACCAAAAACTTTCAAGAAGAAGTCTTTTATTTTCAAAACCTAAATCTGAACTGTTGGAAAAAAAGAGGGATTATAACAATTTCCTGATCTCTGAATGGTTCATAAAAAAGCAAAAAAAATAATAACTTGAAAATTCTGCTTTGTTCAAAAAAATTTCAGAAAGTCTTAAAGAAATGTTCTTTGTTCATGAGAATGATCCAGATCTTTTTTTTCAGTGCGGATCCAGGATCCGGATGAAGTAAATGTTCGCGACATCAGATAGAAAGGTATTTTTTTTTAAATTCCAAGGGACAGTTCAGAAATCCAATATTTCTTGAATTTATTATGTCATATATAGTTTTCTTCGTAATTGTCCAAAAAGATTGAAATTAATTATTAAAAAAACTTTGAGAATTGGCTGATTTAGGTTAAAAAAAACCTCCAAAAAATGTACTTTTCCTAAAAACAATCATTTTTGACGTTTTTTTTTTTTGCCTAACTCCGTCAATTTTTGAACTTTTTCAAAAAATTTTATGGATTTAATCTTTTTAGACAATTACGAAGAAAATTATATATGCCATGATAAATTCAAGAAATATTTTTTTTTGTTGAGAAAATTGATCTTTTTTGCGATCTGAACGTGCCTTGCACGACCACTTCCAATTTAGGTGGATCAAAAAAAATAAAAATTCCCCTGAAAACTGACATCATACAGAACGATATTATTGTGGGAAATCAGACTGCAAAATGGGTCACCCTATTTACTACATATGATACTTGAGTATACCTAGACAAGATCTGAGCTGATGAAGGTACGTGATGACCGCCAGTTTATCAGGTATCCGTCTGATAACCATATTTTCCGGTTCAAGAACCCGTGGGATACCTAGCTTTTCACCAGCCTAACAAACAAATATTTAACAGTTTATATGCCTTGATCTGATCAAAAATATGAAAGAAAACATTCTTTTTCCTTCTCTAAACGTGTTTATTTCAATGAATTCCTTCTTGTTTTTTCAAGAACAAGAAATGCGCAAGTCCCATTTGCAGAGAAACCCCAGATGAAATCAAACAATTAAACCAACAACATGTTTGTCTTTTATCTAATTCACACTTGATTAGACAAAGCTTTTAAGAGCACCGTTGTATATCAGGCATTGTCATCTTTGATGGAGGGTCATTTGAAATGTGATTTCGCTTACAGTCAAATTAACTTTCAAGTAACTGTAGACTTAAATTATAATAGGTCATGCTAGTTTCACAATGCTTCCTTTTATACCTTTATCTGATCAATGATACGGAGAAAAAAGAAAAATTTCCTCCAATGTGAATTGAAACCAAAATCGACAATAATAACTTTTTAAAGATACAAACTATATTTGAATATATCTTGATCAGAATAAATTATCCTCTATATAATAGAACAGACCTTCGCATATACGTTCCCTACAGCAGGCCAAACGGCTGGACTGAATCCAGGCTGAAATTTGTTTTGGACACTTAAAAGAAATGTTTTTCAAAATATTTTTTTTAATTTAACGGGCATTTCAGATAGTGTTTTAAATTATAGAAAATTTTGAAAATCCTTTTGTTTCGTGAAAAAAAAAAATATTTTTGGGTTGACTAAACCTATTTTTCTTTTATCATTTACCTCAAATGCAAGTTTACAGTTGATTTTAATATCATTGCTTGTTAGTTCTGAGTATTGAATGAGGGACGGATAGAAGCTGTGAATAAGAGCGCAGAATGCCAACCCGTTTCTCCAGCTTGAAGTAAAGTTTGTCACCTGCAATATAAATCATGATCAAGGGCGTATACAGGGAGGAGGCAAGGCGTATACAGGGAGGAGGCAAGGCGTATACAGGGAGGAGGCAAGGCGTATGCAAGGGGGGTAGTGCCTCTCCCTAGAACTCAGAGCTAACATACTTTTTAAATCTTAAACTGAAGAGTAAAGAATTAGTTTGCGGTTCTGACTTGGGGGTTTGAGGGGAGCCCCCCCCCCCCCCCCACCACCACAAAAACATAAATTATTATTGCAGTGCTGTAACCCAATTTTCCCTTTTAAGTTCAAAGAGTACACAGAGATTTGTTGAGTTTCCAGAATTTCATTTTCAAAAATTTCTTTACTATCTAATATAAATATTAACAAAACATATAATAAAATGTAGATGTTTTAAAAAACATGTTTTTTCTGCTAGTTTTGTTTGAAGGAGAGAAAATGTAGTATTTGCAAGGTAAATTAAATGTATGTGCAGTGTGCACTGCACATTGTACCTTTAAAGTATCTTATACTTATGCCTGATATCCAAGAAGGCAAATGTTTTGAATTTACAGTTATTTTGCCTCCCCCTAGGAGCTGCTAGGGTAGGGCAAAAAAAATTTGCCGCTTCGCGCATTTGGCCCCCCCTAAATTTATTTCTGTTTACGCCCTTGATCATGATGTACAGGGGTCCACAAAAAATAATGGAATACAAAGATGACTTTAAGCGAAATAGCAATTTATTTCATTGCAAAAAATAACTTTTAACTTTAAGAAATCAAATTATTAACTTAAACGCGTCGTCTTTCTTTTCCATATTATTCTTGCGATCACTGTACAGTGTACACTTAAAGTTTAAAATTTGAAATAGATCTTTCAAAATTCTTTTCGTTTAATATTCTTAATGGGCAACCGTACACCTGGAAGAAACTAAGAGAAAAAATGTAAGGAAAGGACAAAACATTTTTTCAGTTGAATTAATGACATAAACAAAGATTAGAAATACAAGAATTATCCTAATATTAGTATAGCATAATGGAAAATACAAGAATTATCCTAATATTAGTATAGCATAATGGAAAATACAAGAATTATCCTAATATTAGTATAGTATAATGGAAGGATATTAAAAAACTAAATAGGGAAGCAGGTTCATATTTCAAACTACTAATTATTTGTGGAAATTTAAACAAAATGATTACCTTAACGTTCTTATAATTACAAAGAATAGATTTTGTCCACTCCAGGAGGTCAGAACTAACTCCAGATCCTGGTTTCAGGTCCTGCTGTCCTGTCGTAGACCCGGAGTCAGGTTTACTAGTCTGAGAAAACGAACTTAAAGGAACAGGAGAGGTTTCAGAGTTAGTTAATCTCCCCGGAGTTCGGAACAGTTTAGTCTCGTCTGGAGTAGATTCCTTGCTGCTCCCGGAGTTTAAAGAGTTGAGGAAGGATTGTGAAGGAACAATCTCTATTTTCTCCTCAACCCTGTCAGGAGGAGGTTTTTCTGGTTCCTCTTTTATAGTTTCTTTTCTTAGCTCCGGTCTCCGCATAGAACTCCGTAGAACGGTTGGTGTATGATCCTCGAACGACATTGGATCGAAATCAACTGTCGTCGATTGAAGGAATTCCTGGGTAAAATCTCTCAATTCTTGGCTTTGGGTTTTCTGAAATTTTCTTGTTCTCGTCTCCTGGGATACAACACGGGTAGTAAACTCCGGACTAGTGGAGTCAGCTGGATCAAGTTTCTCCTCTGTAAAGGAAATACTCTCTTCGAACTCTACGCTAACACTTCCTTCTCTGTTATTACAGGTTTTTGTATCATTCCTGGCACCATCATTAACTAGGTCATTAGCAGGGGTCGACGAGAATATGACGACAGGAGGGTTCTGAACGGGTGTTTTTAATATTTCCTCTTTTTTTGTGGTGGTTGAGGAAATGCCCGGGGTCATTTCCCTGGCAGGGATTATTGAGGTGGGTTGGGCACTGCCAGGGGTCATATCCCGTGCCCGGACAGGGATTATTGAAATATTATTGCTGGAAGAGGAACTGTTAGTTTGTTTGAGTAAACTACTGGATTCTGTAAAGGTTTCAGTCTCCTTGAGATTGAAGGATTTTAACTGCGAAGTAAAATTGGATTTAATTTCACTAGTTTCGGTTTCTTTAAATTTAATGTTTTCTTGGTTCATAGTTTCCAAAGTACTGACGATTCTCCGTTCGGAGTTTGTATAATCTGAATAGGTTTGGGATGAAGAATGAGGAGCTGAGCTCCGGGTAAAGGATTCATCTTGTTGTATCAAGGTCCGGACTGGAACTAGTTCTGGGTTAAGGTTGTCTAATTTCTCACTCATACTCTGGATTGATTTGGTCAAGGATTGGAATTCACTGACTGATACTTTCACCTCACTCGACTCTGTATTCAAGCACTCTTATAAATGAGAAAAAAGTTCTTCGAGCTCATATTTATGTAATTTTTAGTCAAGATTTTTTTTAATGTCAAATTACAAATCTAGGGGAAAATTAATGATCTTAGTGATTTAACAAAGATTTCGAGAGGAAAGCTTAAAATCTCAGTAAAATCTAAAAACTTGGATGCTACCTTTGCTATTGCTAAGTTACATACAATACTTTGGCTAAATATTTAAGAAACAGGAGTTTAACAAAGAGACCAGTGACCAAGTAAAAAACAAATTTATAACAATCATGTTAACTATCCTTTCCATTAAGAAACAGAATGCCTTAAAAGAAAACGATTAATAAAATTTTTAAAAATAACATAAAAATGTGTGTTTAAATGAACTTGACAAGAACTGTTTTGTGTTAATGGGTTTAAGGAGTGGTTTCCTTGTTCTTCTTCATCTTCTTCCAGGGTCTCCATATCCGCAATATCGTTGGGAATAGTGGAGTTACTGACCAGGCTCGCCAAACTTCTCATATCATCATCCATAGCCTTCCCTTCCTACAAAATCACATTTTTAACAGTGTAATATAACTATAATACCTTCCCTTCCTACAAAATCACATTTATAATAGTGCAATAAAACTATAATACCTTCCCCTCCTACAAAATCACATATTTAACAGTGTAATATAACTATAATACTTTCCCTTCCTACAAAATCACATTTATAATAGTACAATAAAACTATAATACCTTCCCCTCCTACAATATCATAATTATAACAGTGCAATATAACTATAATACCTTCCCTTCCTACAAAATCACATTTTTAACAGTGTAATATAACTACAATACCTTACCTTTCTACAATATCACAATTATAATAGTGTAATAACAGTGCAATATAACTATAATACCTTCCCTTCCTACAAAATCACATTTTTAACAGTGTAATATAACTATAATACCTTCCCTTTCTACAATATCACAATTATAATAGTTTAATATAACTATAATGCCTTCCCTTCCTACAATATCACATTTATAACATGTAATATAACTTCAATACCTTCCCCTCCTTCAATATCTCAATTATAACAGTGCAATATATCTATAATACTTTACCTTCCTACAACATAACATTTTTAACTGTGTAATAAAACTATGATACCTTCCCCTTCTACAATATAACATTTATAATAGTGAATTATACCTATAATACCTTCCCTTCCTACAATATCACAATTATAGCAGTGTAATTTACCTAAAATACCTTTCCTTATTACAATAACACAATTATAACAGTGCAATGTATGTAATGCAGTGTAAAATATAACTTGAATGCCTTTCTCTTCTCCAGCAATTTCTATAAGTGTAAAAAAAAACATAAAATTCTTTTTAAAATATATTATGTTTGTGTAAGAAATATCAAATCAAATCAAATCATTTATTTCTGCAGAAAAAAACAATATTTACGAATTAATTTTTAAAAATTACAATATGTAAAATATTATTATGAAATACAAATAATACTCAAATCTGAAAAGGAATCCGATATAAACAAAATATATTCATCGAAATGATAAAAGAACTGTTTGCATACCTTGTTCGATGTTCAGTGTGTCGTGAATAGTATTTTTGAATCTCGTTAGTAATTATCAAATAAAGAACCAGGGAAAACTTAAAATGCAAAATAATTGAAAATCATGACGACCTAATGTCAGTATCAGGATTGAAAATTATTATCTGTATTTTCTACCTTTAAAAACTCGCTAGTAAGTGTAAACACAAGGTAGCAGGCTGTCACTTTCTTATTTAGAGGTCGTAGTTTAACCTGAAAATAATAAATTTTATAATTAGTAAATTTTTTTCTTTTAAACAAAAATTGTCTTGGTCTGTTTGTTGTTTTTTTGTATTCAACCAAAAAGTCAGAACCAATGAAGTCCAATTTATTCGTGGATGCTCATGCTCATAGTCATATGACCCCAGAGAAGGTTTTTGGTCGGCAAGAATTAAAAAAAATTTGAGTTTTACAATTTATTTTTAATCCTTCCTGAAAACAGGAAATTAACCAACCTTTAGATTTTCCTGATGAGGTATTTGTCGTGCATAATCCTTGAGGTTTAACCGACCCTGAGCAACAGGTTTCCGCTTCCCGTCCTTCACGTCCTCCAGGATAAAGAACCAGTCCTTGTTGTCGTATTCCTCCTGACGCTGGTCACGGAACAGGGTCACCGTAATCTCCTGACGATCAACAGCAATATAACTAAGCTTTTTCATGATTATAAATATTTCATTTAAACGTAAATGATTAATATTTCCAGGCCAAGAAAGATTGAGGAGATTGAAAATAATAATACCTGTAATAAAATTAAAATTTCGAATTTAATTTTACAAAAATTTATTTATTTTGTTCAAACTTCAAATAAAAAGATTCCACGGACGACGCGCCGGACATTTCAGCAAGTATTCAATAAAAAAATAGCTTAATAAATATTATCTAGTTTTCCTTATTTTCTGGAACAGGCCACACGCACATTCCGATATATGGAGATTTCATCGTCGGTTCCCAGGTCACCGGCTCAGCAACTATCCGCCGACCTCGCCTGCAACCAATTCAAAACATCTCAAAGATACTTTTAATGCAACAGGAACGTAAGGATTCTAGCAAACAAAGCCAAATTTCGCGAATATGATTTTTGAGACCGGAAATGGAATTACGCGTAAAAACACAAAAATAAATAGATATTGATTGTATGTTTGTTGATTGAAATTGAATGTAGTTAATTTAACGTCATATTATGAAGGGGGTGCAGTGTGATAGTTTTGGATGAAATAAATGTCTCAGAAGAGAAACTTTTGATTGTAACAAATAAGATTTTGAACTCAATATCAAATAAAAAAAAATCTTTAAAATTGAAGTTTATCTCCGTAAACTAAGGAAAGTTGACCATTCCTGTCATGAGATGTCCAAGTTTAAGCCGTCGAAGGCAAAGAGATTTAGCATTAAAAAGGTTTGCTCTCAAATCTCACATCTCTAAACATTTATTCATACCTGGTAAGATGCTGTAAACTTGTATTTACTCGCTCGTTTGTTTATTCGATTCAGTCTCTTCCAAACCGACCCCATTTTATCTGCAATTATTCATTACATGAATTAATATAATTTATCATGAATTAATTCATTTTCTACGATTAGTTTACATGGGAGATAATAGTTGACACAATAAAGGGAAAAGAAGGAATTAATCTAAGTACAATATTGGGAAATATGCAGTAAGCACAAATAAAAAAAGTGGAACGAAAAAATTCATAAATAATTATCACTTGTCTCGACAAAAAGGAAAACAAATAATTGAATAAATAGTAATAATAGAATTCCAATACTAACTCATTTAAGGTGTTTTTTCAGTGTGAAATACGAGGTGTTCATCAATTTGATGATTTATTGATTGTGTGATTGCTCTATTGATCATCTGAAAGTACTTTCATGTCCAAGATTGACTGAAATAAAGAAATTAATTTGTCGTCAAATTAGTTGAATACCAATATTGCGAAAATAAATAGAAGAAAAAATTATTATTTGATCACATTGTAAATAATTGATTAAATTCTAAACTGATTGATTTGATAGGTCCTAGATCCATTGATTAATCGTCTTCATAGATGGCGTTGATTTTGTTTGGATCAGTAAACCTGGCAGTTAGAACATAGAAGAGAGCAGGAAGAGGAACCAATCCCAGCAAACCAAACTGGTAGGTATCCTTAACCCAGGGGATATATTTTTTCAAGAATTATCTCAAAGGTGGGATATTTTCGATTATCTTTTGGAAAACATGAAAAAATAAACTTCCAATGACAATTCAAACTTTCTTATTCAATACGTTTAAAAAAATACATTTATTTCCCAAATTCAGCGAATAAGCCCAAAATGAATACGTAAAAACTAAACATATCGGGGAAAAGTATTTTTTGTAGGGTGGAAAAAATGATATTTGGAGAAAATATATATAAACCCCTGCCTTAAGCTGAGTAACTGCAATAATGCCATAGGCATGCAAACACCAATGTCCCAGTAAAATGACGAGGTTCCTTGTATCTTTGACTGTAGAGGTGACAAGGGCTACCAGGGTCTGATCTAGCTTGAAAGCTAGGTGGGCAGCACAAGAGATTAAACTCAAGATTATTATTATGTACGAGAAACTGTAGTAGATGAGGCCGCCAAGCAGGGCATGCAGGAGAGCATAACCTGGCAGGAAATATAAAGCAGCGTACACAGAGTTCCTACCACGGCCAGGGAGGAACTTGCTGGACAGGCAGGGTCGCACTACCAGCAGGGCGAGTAAGGAGAGGAAGTAGAAAATAAAGACGATTGAATAAAGAGGGAAAACAATCTCCTGAGTACAGTATAGCTTCTCCTCGTAGTTTGGAACTGGATTAAAGAATACAGGATACCAGTCAGATAGCCTAGTTACAGAACAGGAGTAAAGACTAAGCTGACCAACGGGCTGTGAGACCAAGAGAGCTCCAAGTGCAGCAGCCGCGGTTTCCACCAACGCCGAACCGTGGAGAACAAGAATGTCCAGGGTAAATCGGTTCCGTTTAGCGCTGTAATCTATAGCTACCCAATGAGAGAGAAGGGAGGTAACAACTATAAACGCAAGATAGAGTTGATCATAAAAAGAAGGATTCTGAGTACAGGGGGAACATAGCGAGGATTTCTCCGGATTGAGAACTTTGGAGCCTCGAGGACAGGAACCACAGGTACTGTAGTTACCGTCACCAATTTGAGTTCTCCCACAATATCTGCCAGGACAAGGAGCAGGATAGGAAGCAGTCCCTTTTATCCAGGTGTACCCTGACGCTTCACTTGGAAGATAGAAGCAGAGTCCGACCAAGAACCAGATTTTCATCATTCTTTCATTTTAATCTTAAAGAAGATAGAGTAAGTGTAAACCGGTAATTTCCTGGAGAAAGATTTTTAGACCCCCCCATCCAAAAATCGTTCTCTAGAACAGTCCCCGTAAATTAACTATAATTGACAACTAGATATTGTTGTGAGGATAAACGCTAAAATGTCTATGAATAGAGTCAAAAGAAGTCTTCTCCTACCCTTCTTTATAACGGTAATCGGTATAATTTGCGATAGTATAATTCACTTTAATGAGATCTTTATATTTATTATATTAGTATCAAACTCGAATACTAATAAATTATAAAACAAACAAACTTGCCTTTAGTGTAATCTACGAATTCTCAAATTAATATTATTTGACGATGTAAATTCTATATTTTTTACGTGAAATTCAAAAAATCTGATACGATATATCCCTTACTTTGAATTGTTTAAGTAAACAAATATTCACAAAAATTGCGACACCCCGCCCGAGCGCAGTAGTTTTGAATGCCGCAAAACAAATTTGTCTCTAGAAACTTATAAAGACGAGCTAGATATAAACACAAGATGGCGGGAGATCTTCAAGCTCAGTTATTCATCAGCTGACCTTTAACCGCAGAGTAATAATGTAATGAAAGTGGAGCTTTCGTATTCATATTTTTAACTTTACGTTTTTTATTCTATAACTAACATCCATGTTCTTAAATTTTGCGCTAATTTTAGGATTAACAGTCTACAGTCATCACTTTATTCACTTTTTATATACACTGAAAGAATCTCGCCTTTTGATGCAAATAGAAATAAAGGTTAATCATTCAATCAATCAGATCTTCCCAGTTCCCAACTCTATATAACTTAAGGTTCAAAATGGCTACTGCTACACCTACCACTGCTCCAGTGCCTGCTTTTAAGGAAGAAAAGTACGAGAGGATTATTCTTGAAGCAAACCCTCAACAAGAACAAGAAATAGAGCAAGCTAAAGGTGTAGTATACGACATTTATTTGGTTTAAATCAGATATATTTACATCACGTGCAGGTTTTGCCTTAAGTGTCCCAATATCAAATGATTGCTCTGAGCGCTTAATGTTTTTGATGTCTTATTTGGATTAGTATTTATTCTTTAAAAGTTTTGTTTTACTAAAAGAAAACGAGTCATGATCTAGAAAAGCTAATTTTCTAGTAAATTATAATTCGATCCCTTACCTATAATTTTATATTGTTTGTTTGTTTATAATCTTCCTGACAGAAGCAATCTCAAGGAATAATAATTGACTTAAAACATTTTTTAAAAAGTAAATATTTCCAAATTATCTTTTTTCCATCTCATGATCTGTGTTCGTTTCCTTTTGTCCATTTGATAGGCCAATTTTTTTTAATGATCTTGTTTGTTTATTTTCTTGGGAGGTAGGAGATTGTCAGGTAATTTGTGGCAGGGTGAGATCAGAGGTAGATTAATGTAGAGATAAATTAAAATTCAGGGTGTAAAGGATGGTGGATACACAAACACAAATAAGCTAATAAAGTTTCATTTTTTATTTATTTATAATATATCACATGATAAATAACTAGATTTTTTCGCATTTAAACCTCTCATAATTCTCAAGCTAAATATTATTTACTCTTTGTCTAAATATTTTTGCAGATTTAGTTTCTTTAAGGTCAATTTCAATTGGATTCCACAATTTAGGAAACATTGTTTAAATTTCTAGAGTTGTTGGACACCATCCTTTGTTGTTTTCTCGATGTGGACGACGAGAAGTACGAAGAAGAGGAGGCCAAGGAGGGAGAGGAGGAGGAGGGAGAGAGTCCTTATGAGAAGGATGTTGAGAAACAACGTGAAATGAGCAGCAAAGTTCTTCCTAAGGTGAGTGCTGGGACTTTTGCTGTAATTTTAAGTGTAACACTCCATTTAAAAAGTAGAATTCTCAATTCTAAACTGCGTTAAATTTTTATTTTAACAGTAATATGGTTGATGTTAATGTTAATGCTGTCATTTTATCAACATCCATTTAAAATAAAATAAAATAAAATAAAATAAAATAAATAATGATTTATTGAGAAAAAATCAAAAAATGATTATCATTCACGCGCAAATAATAATAAAATAATAATAATAATAATAATAATAACATCCATGCCTGTTGTAAAAATTCACTTTTATTGAGAAACTACAATTGAAAATAATAAATTATGTAAAATTAAAAATATTGCTCTTTATTTCATTAATTAAGATTAAAATGCTAGTAAAAATACAGGTTTACTTACCTCTACGTTTTCCTATTTTCCTTAAACTGATAAGTGCTTTTTTATATAATTTTTTTTTTAAGTATTAGTTACTAACCAAAAGATATGTCAGAAATTATGATTTGTCCCAAATTAGGGCTCTGAAATCAATTTCCTAAAATGTAAGGTAAATAAAAACACCCCTTAAACAGTAAGAACCAGAAAACTGTGGAATAGGATAGTCTCAAGTAAAGGTTTAAAATAGTCAAATGAAGATGAAACGAAAGAATTCAGCTGTTTGCAAAATCAGTGAATTTTAAGAGCAAAGATTGTCCAAGATTAGAGATAATGCATTAGGAATTTATCCGAATAGTGTGTACGCTCTGTACACTTTTATATGACGTCATTGGCTGCAGTATTGGTTTTAAATTCAAACAATCAACATTAAAACAAATTAATTATTTGTAGGTACTTGTAATGTTAGGAAATTAACGACACGGTTATAAACTTCTAATATTGTTTAATCATGTAAAGGATACTAGGCTTTTCTATTTCAACTTTTAATTGTGGCTTGTGAGCATCTTCTCTTTGTACAGTATAAAAGAAAAACAAAAAAAGTTTGCGGATTTCATATTTTTTCGCGCATTTTCAAAATTTTACCAAAATAAAAAACTTGTAAACACAAATTTTTGAAATTTTGATCATTCATAAACCTTTCCTGGGGTCACGTGATGTCATACACAAAATTTAGGGCCGATCGGTTCAGCCGTTTTGACGTTTATTGAATACAAACAAACAGACAGACAAGCCAAATTTATATGTGGAAGAAGCTCTCCTGCTAAAATAAAACTAGAATTGTGATAGTTACGCATCTCATTTGTTTGAAAAATACCAAAGATTTTAATACAAAATTTGTTCTATAGTTTTCAATTAGTTTGAAGCAGAGTTTTAGACCCCCCAAAAAACATTGGATTGAAGGGGTCCAAAAATTGCAAACCAAACATTGCAATATGTTCCAAGATAAAGTTTATCTTCAAAGATATTTAAGTTATTTAGTTATAATGGCAAAATCTTTTTAAATTATAGAAAAGCCGACATTCTGTGGCTTCTTAATTAAACCAATTGAGGCGTCTGTTTTGCATATGAATCCCAATGCATACTCTTTATATTACCAAGCTCTTCGCTATAAATAAATAAAACTATTTACGTTGTAATAAAATTAAATACACTTAAAAGACTGCTTTAATGTCGTCTTCCAATTCTACAGTTTTCTGGTTTCCACTAATAACATAAAACTATGAAAAATAAAATTATACCTAAAAAATCAAACTTTATATTCAGGGATTTCCGTTCAATGCTTGTCTCTCTATGAAAAGCAGTGAGGAAGAATTAACTACAGCTCTGGACTCGCCCATTTTTAACTCATACAACGGTCAGTGTAGAGTCAGTACAATAGGCACTTAAAACCTACCTTTTATCAAACTTAGAGTGATTATTCACGTATTTCAAAATAGACATAATACCCTAATTTTTAAATTGGGAAAAACTACGACATACAGGGAATTTTGCCGATTTTTAACAACTTCAGGAATTTTTCACAGTTATAAAGGTTGAACACGGGGGAAATCTCATGGGAAATATAGATTTGATAGTTTGCGCGAAAATATGCTTGCGGTGAAATACCTAGTCTGAAGTGTGGGTGATATGCACAAAATTCTCTGTTAAACTATAGAGAGTCTTTTAGCGGAAAGATGGGGAAAATATGCTTGCGGTGAAATACCTAGTCTGAAGTGTGGGTGATATGCACAAAATTCCCTGTTAAACTATAGAGAGTCTTTTTATAATTAGTTAACAATCCCCTAATTTTGTATGCTAGGTGCTGTGTACTGGAATGAGTGTGGACGGGATTTTATCGTGGATCCGAACCAGCCCAAGGAGAACTTTCAGCCAGAGAACATGGCAAACCTCGTCTACCACAGCCTGAAGCCGATCATGTAAACTATTCTAAAGATTTTTAGAATGACTGTTCACATAATGTTTAGTGACCCTCCAATTATTGAGTGACATGTCTGATTCACAATGGTACCATTGAAATTTAACCTTTATCTGAGCAACAACAAGGCGACGTGGTTTTTCCGTTTTAAACGTGTTGAATTCTAACAACAATTTAGTAGACGTAATTGGAAATAGTAAATTTTAAGAGAGAAAAAAGAGGATTCAGGCGAAGATTTTAAGTTTACTGTACCGTTGTAAATAACGTTTACAGTCCCTTTAATCTTTCATAGGAGCCTGGAATAAAATTTTTAATTGCTTATTAGAAATGATTTGAAGATTGCAAGTAGATTTAAACTTTAAAAAAGGAAGGAGATAAGGGGTGTGCCACATCATATTATATTGTTTATAGCTCTAAATTGCGATTTTTGAAATATTTTGAAAAATATTCATGAGCTGGTTCCAAATCCATTTATTTACATGATTGATCTTTAATCCTGATCCATATCAAAATTAAATGGATCCTTGTTTCCTTAGCACTGCTGACTTGGATTGTATTCTTAGTAACAGGGGTGAAATTTTCTCAGTTTTTAACTTTAATAATTTATTTAATTAAATTTTACAATATTTTTAAATTTCAATATGATATCAGATGGAAACATTTTGAGACTTCTATATTTCTTGTTTTTTCATTCTTTCTTCTTGATCTTCCATTCCTTGTCCATCCTTCAATCATACTTTGGCTAATTTTGAAAATAAAAATAAATGAATTTTTTGGATGTTTTCTGCAGCTAGCCAAATTGCAGAGGCAGAACTATTTCTTGGAGCCCTGTATCTATTTTCTTAGTATATCATTTTCCCATCGTCGCGCCGGCAACCCTTTGAAAATTATTTTTTCCCAGATGTTTTTTTTAGGGTTTTATTCAGTAAATTGGGAATCTAAAAGGATGAAGAAAAAAAATTTGCTTTTTGATGTTCAATTTTTCTCTTTTTTCCGTTGGGAATTCTTGAGAATATATTCCCCTCTATATTTTAATATATTTCTATTTAAGGATTCACCCTGGCGGAGATAAGAAATTAACCATCAAGGTAATTGTTTTGGATTAAAATTATTTTCTTATTCTTCTTTTTTATAATGGACTCTGTCGGTAAAGGTATTACTTGATCATCAAACTCTAATCTTCTTATCGCTTTATCTTTACACCCCAATGTTGTAAATGTAAGTTGACTTTAAGATGATTAGAAACGACAAAATTGTAATTTTGATGATGAATTAGTCCTAATTTCGCGGATGTCTGTTAATTCGGCGGATTTCTTTTTCTTTACCTTTTTACATTTAATAAAGATCCTATATACTACAGTCATAACCAGAAAGCCGCGGAATAAATTGACAGTTAATCAGGCGACTTTACATATGTATCTCTGGTAATGTTTTGCACAATAAAAGCAGACCACATTTTGACATTTGACAGGACTAGGGCTATTTTTTTTATTCATTAAATATATTTACAAAATTAGATTGTAAAGTCTTATTAATTTTTAACTAATTCTAGGTCTTTCTGAAAACAAAGAATGTCACAACTATGCATTAAAAGGAATATTCTTGAATTTTGAACTTGGTTTGGAAAAACAGCTGAAACCTTGGGAATCAGCTGCGTTCACTAAAATTTGGTTCACTAAGCAAATTCTTCTCTTTTTTTTAAATACTTAAAAAGTGAAAGTTCTTTTTAATGTTTATAATTAGGACATATTGAGCAGAAGAAACTTTTTATGAAGCCACTAATATATATATATATACATGGATGCTTGTTTCCCTTAATATTATTTGTTTGTTTTTTTCTCTCTCTGTTTTATCTTGTTGAGAAATATTACAAACAAAAAAATCTGTAATCCAGGGAATGTGCGAAGAGATTGGAAAGCTGAACTTCAACGCTGGAGAACACGTTTTCCTGGAGAATATAGAAATCCAGGTAACTAAGAACATGGCAGCAGTGCTTAGGAACTGCAATCCTTGGGCCGAAATTTTAACAAAAATCTAAAAATTATGAAAAGTTTCCTCATCTCTGAATGGTCTATTATGGTTTAGCAGGCATTAATAAATAAGTTACTAACAACACTCCGCCTGGTTTTGTGGATATTAAAGTGATAACCAGAAAACCGTAAATTTGGAAGACGACATTAAAGCAAAACTGAAGTCCATTTGATGTTCTTACAAAGCAAATAGTTTTACTAGTAAGTTAGTAAATTACTCATTCGGTAAAATTGGCCTGTTTACACTAATAATTGGTTTTTTCTCATGCTCATTGGACTATGTAAAGTCGAACTTAAGTTTAAAAGTCGACCATTATTCCAGAGTTTTCTGGTAATCACTGTATATCACCAAAACATAAATCTTACATTGTCTAACACTTTGTAGTTTGACGGATATGTTAGGTGGCTTGATGTAAATTTTTTTTTTAATTGAAAATCAAGCTTTTTCCAAAAATAGGCGACAATGATTTTTACTTGTTACTTTATTTAACATTTTAGTAATTCAGATCCTGCAACATATCAATTGTTTATTCGTGTATTTGATAGCTCCTGTAAAATCGGAATTTTCCATGCATGGCCCGAATGAACATCAAAATGTTAAATTATATTGTTTCATAACTAACGTTTTACTCTGATCAGACAAATTTACGAAACAATAAAATTAAATTTTATTTTTACGGATTGGCTGACCCAAAACAAACATAATTGTGTACGACGCTCGATTCGTTAATTATATACAGGGTGTCCCAATAAACGTGGAATTGGGAATTGGGTGACGAATTCAAGATCGTCTTTGTTAAGAATTAGCATTGTAATTTAAAACGCAATAATCTAATTTTGTCTGCCAGAGTTTATTTAATGAAATGGGTGCAATACTGTGTCCGTTATCTCTCTGCAAGATGAATAATGCAGAGGGACATAATTTCTGTATTCGATAATTTTCTTCTTTTACTAAGAACAACCGTATGTAGTCAAAACATAAACAAACAAAATGTAAACATAGCAGACGGAAATGCTATGGATTACAGCTTTCTCAGGAGGTAAATACTAAATCAAAGAATTGTTTAAAAAGACGATATCAAAATCGTCACTCAATTCCCATGTTTATTGGGACACCCTGTATCTAATTACTTAAAAATTAATTGTTGAGTCACATTGATATCTTTTTGCAGTAATTAACTTTAATTATCTATTTTTAGCTTCGTGAGATTGATGATAAAGAAGTTATGGTGATAATATTCTACACCGGAGCCTAGACTCTTCATTCCTTACAGACAACCTCAAAAAATATGTTTAATGTTCAATCTGGACGCCCCCCTCTCCATACCCATCCCCTTTTATATCCTTGTTATACCAGTTTATTAGGCGTGCCAGGATTCTTGATTGATTTAAAGTTGAATTTAAGTATTTTGGCACTCCGTCCCAATCTTATCCTTTGTTTAACTTTAACCTACTTCAACCTGCCAGCTTCTATTTAGAGCTGGGCATCGTATTAGAACACTGTTTTTAACTTTAACCTACTTCAACCTACCAGCTTTTATTTAGACCTGGGCATCATATTAGAACACTGTTTTTTAACTTTACCCTACTTCAACCTGCCAGCTTCTATTTAAAGTTGTTTATACGTTTTGCAAAAAAAATTTAATCATAAACATTTCAGCAATCCTTTCAATTTTTTTACAGTTTAAAGTTATACACAACATAAAAACATCTTATTGTTATTTAATAAAACCTAATTTTTACAATAATGCATTATCAGATCAACTACCCCTTCCTGCCAGTCACTCCCTTTAAAACACCCCAGAAAATTATGTACATTTTAAGTTTAATTGTAATATCAACCCTGTTTTCCAATATTCTACCATCTTCCATAAATTACAGAAATCTGTTCGGTTTACTTGTGTTAAGCAAAGTACATACGATATCAGCACTTTCTTTGATTCATAAAAACTCTTACAAATATTGATTTCATTTGTTTTCAATCCAAATATAAAAAGATTTTCATAATTTGTTGACAATTGGTCAAATTGAACTCATTATCACTGATGATGTGATGTGTAATCCCTGCAGTACAATACTACCTGCAACACAATAGTGTTCATGGTGTTCTCCCCAGTCCATCCACTCAGTTAATCAATTGAAATTGATTGATTAGTTGATTAACTGATAAATCGATTAATTAATTAGTTGATTGATTGTTAGATTGATTCATTTATTGTCCAAGTAAACCAACCTGGTATAAATCTTCTTGTCTATTACACATGCAACACAAAGTATTAATTAACGTGTGTTCTACAATTATCTGGTTTTATTATCCTGTAATTGTTCCAGTGTGATCATATTGCCTTTACTCGTAGAGATGGGCACGTTCGACTTTTTTTTTAATTCGTTCGTTCGTGAATGACCAATTTTGTTAGTCTTTTTCAATCGTTCAAAAAATTGATGTCGTTCGTTCTCAAAATTATCGTTAATTTTCCATTTATTTCGTTCGTTTTTTTTCGTAAATGATATTTCAGCAAAAACGTTCGTTTGGTAATAAAAAACTGTCTTTTTAATATTTGTTCGAAAAAGTCGTTCGTTCAGTAAAAAACCATCGTTTGTTTAAAAATTTGTTTTAAAAATTGTTCGTTCAGTGAAAAGAAGCTATTGCTATTTTTCAAATCTTTTGGGAAAAAATTACTTTCAGTGTAAATAACTATGGCTTTTTAAAATTCGTTTTAACATACTATCATTTTCTTATTTCTCTGAACGGTCCAGTTTGCTTGTCTTATCGGTTTTATTCTTCCTGAACAACAACATTTTTCACTAAAAATTTCGCTCGTTTAAGACAACGATGCCCATCTCTATTTACTTGTACCTGAAAATACAAATAAACATACTGTCCCACAGCTTTGTTTTATTGAAAATGTTTAAATCGTACACTACAAACTAACCAGGAGGAGGTCAAATTCAGTTGATATTGCTGGTAAGACTTTGTGACCTTGTTGCTCCTCTAGTTCTAATTTTACGCCCAAATATGAGAAAGGCAAAATTTTTGGTTACATATTAGCAATTCAAAAAATTGTTTTTATCTATAGCTTCTTAATAATAGGAGTTATGATTGAAAACGTATAATATTTCGTGTTACTGACGTAATTTTGACGCAAATTTGACATACGCTGAAGGAATTAGAAATATAGATTGACATAGATAACGAGCAAACGTCATAGCAAAAATTAAATTCAACCAATATTCTGTTTTATCTCAATAAACCAGATTTTATTTAAAATATTCGATATTTAAAATGCTAACACTAAATATTGCTAATTATTTAATTTACCAAACCAAGAAATTTCTTTCAGGCAGGTTATGATTTTCTTTATTACCATAAAGTTGAATCACAGCAATGTGCCGTGTACCCAGGCTCATTTTAACTTATAGCTAACACACAAACTATTCTCACTATTTTTGGATAAAGATGTTGCAAAGTATAATAAAAGCAAACTTCAAACTAATAAAAAGTTTTGAAATCTAGGAAGTTTTATTGATTTTTCTAAGACTTTTGGTTATTACTGTATCATTCTTAGTTGAGACCATGCTGAGACTAAATTATTTCAATTGTTGTTAAAACAATAAAGGCGTACAATCAGGGGGATGATAGTTCTCTACTTGTGTGCTCAGTTAGCTGTACTGTACACTTACAACTGTTTACTAATATTGATGTACTATGGGTTAGGCCAGAATTAACTTAAAAGAAACAAATATGCAGTACGCTTTCGGTATAATTTATGGCATATACAATTAGTAAAGTATTAGCGTACATCATCACTCTATACACTATAACCTCGTTGCGTACAATATACTTCACGTTCAGTATTCTAAAGAAAAAAGTATTATTGGTTCTTAATTGTAGGTTTTCATCCAGAATACATATTTGTTAGGGAGCAAGAAGATATTGAAAATCAATATTTCTTTTGTTTCAAGTTTGTTGCGTTGCAATATACAAGGTTATCCAAATAGATTCTAGTACAATAGATGGTAACATAGAATTTGTACACTCAGTACAGCTGTTTTCTTACGTCACAAGTGTCAACTTAGTTTTTGTGTCCGACAAAATTAATAATAATAGTGATAATTTCTGAGAAAAGTGCCTTATCTTACAGTAAAATAAGTGCAATTTGATGTGTTCTTTATTTTCTGTTTTTACACTTTTTTATTTAATCTTGGAAAACAGTCACTAATGTGAGCAAATTTCGCTTTCCTTGATATATTTGACACTTGTGACGTCGTGCATAATTGGTTCATTTCTCTGTTGCTACCTATTGTACTTGATAATCTTTTTGAGGTTACCCAAATATGATGAGACTGTCTGTTTTCTAATATTCACAATTATCAACAACTGTAAACATTTGTTTCTTTGCCAAATCATTCTATGAGCCATTTAAAGACTGGGCTCATGGCAGAAGACATAGTTTAACCCTGGAATTGTCATATTGTATGTGTTCAGAGTCTAAAACTAAAGAATGCGCGAATTTTAAGTTCGAAGTTAAAAGTTCTGTAAAATAATGAATAGCTACTTAAATATTAATCTTTCTCAATTTTAAATTTGAATTTCCCGGGAAAATCTGAACCAATCAGAGAAAAGGATTTACGGAGAATATTACATAACCATCGCTAATCAGCTGATTACGTAACCAAAAAACAAAACATATTTCGAGTTACAATCGTATTTTGGGTTTACATGCAAAAATTAATTAATCTAAAACGTGAAATTTCTTTAACAAGGTTTTCACTTTTAGATATATCGTAAAGTTGAATGCCACTTTCTCAACTGAATGATGATTGAATAATAGACAAATAGGGAAAATGCAGGATTTCAAGATTTTAACCCTGTGTTTAAATTTTAACTCGTCGATTTCGGCGAGTTAAATATTTAACCACAGGGTTAAATATTTAACCTCACGGTTAAAGTTCAGGTTTAAATTAAATCAGAAGTGGCATTAAACCATGAACTTAAAATTTAAGTCAAAACTTTTTGTTCTTTAGTTTTAGACTCAGGTCGTACTTTCATTCTCCTCCATTTTGCGTATCCCTGTACAATACAGTGAGAGCCAGATAACATTGGAAAAGGAAAACAACATAAAAGCAATAATTAGGTGTGTTTGATGTTCTTATACAATGCAAATGGTTTGGATTTATGTAACATTGTTAAAATTAATTCGAAATATAAGGAAGACGATTTTTCCGACTCAAATGCTTTAGACTTTTCTCTAGATGTATGCGTACTCAAGATCTATTTCCTCCACGTAGTGCCCACAGGAGAGAGCAGAAACCTGTTGTTCCAGTTCTAGTTGATCTGCACCACCAATATGAAGTTATACATTACCAACATGAAGTTGCTGCTGATGTCTGTTTTTTTCCTTTATTAATTTCTAAACCAACCAATTTTAATGCCACTTGGGAAACTATTTCAAAACATCCGTTTTATTAAATAAATGTTAGAAATATCCATGTAGATCTCCTTTTATTTTATCATATTGACTTTTAACGTCAACAAACATATTAACACTCATTAAGTAAAATTGGCCTGTTTTCATTGCACAATTGCTGTATTTAAAATTCTGTGATGGTGATGGACCAAACCTCTGTAGAGAAAATAAAGTAGATGTTAGTTCCACATTTTATTGAAAATATATTTCGGTCTGGGTTGACCCTCGTCAGTTCTAACGATATAAAAACCGATAATAAGAAATGTTGAAAAACCACAAACAAAAAAGAATATTAAAAAAATGATCCGTGAAATGGACAAAAGGGAAACTAACTCAGATTATGAGATGGGAAAAAAAGATAATTTGCAAATATTCACTTTTTAAAGAATGTTTTAAGACCATAATTATTTCTTGCGATTGTTTCTGTATAATGAAGATTGAAACAAATTGACATGCTTATATGTGTATGAGTATAAAAGGGTTTCCAGCGAACGAAACGTTTCGCGAAAAAATGCAAAAAAAATTGGTTGCATTTCGCAAACGTTTTCGCATTCACGAAATGTCTGATGTCTCCTTGTCGTTCTTGAATCTAGCTTTATATTTTGTGTTATTCAACAATTGGGCTCACGGATAAATTCCCTCTTTGAAAATGAGACTTGTATTCTCAAAAAGTCTTTTTTGATGAATTTTCGCAACTTTTTCGATAAAATTTTGCATTTGTTTAAAAACTTCGGTATTGTTCGCGGGCTTTTCGTGTTTTTTGTTTGAATTATTTCCATTTTTCAAAATTTTCGCGTTTTTTCGCGAAATATTTGCATTTTTTCACGAAATTTTAGCGTTTTCTATTTTTTCGCGAAATTTTGCAAAAAATTTTTGATGGTTGTATTGCTAAATATGGGTATTTAAACTAACTAATGAGTAAGAAATAAAATTAGTGGAGTCTGATTTAAAAACCATTTTGACTCATTTTGACAAAACTTACAATTTTTCAAATTAGAAGAGTCTGCTTTAAACACCAGTGAATCATTGTGACAAAACTCGCAATTTTATTTTTCATATTAGTAGTCTGGTTCAAAAAAACAGTGAATCATTGTGACAAAACTCTCAATTTTTCAAATTAGAAGAGTCTGATCTATAAAAACCAGCGAATCATTGTGACAAAAATCACCAATACGGGTCTAGCCTTAAATGTTAGAGTAGAGACTTAAGACTATATACTTCTAAACCGTGGCGGCCGCTAAAGGAATAAAATATTTTTAAATTTTGACCCTTTAAATTGATTATTAGACTTTGGCGCTAAACTTAAAGCGTGTGAAAGTTTAAACTTTTTCATCAAACTATTTTAAGTAAGAAATTTAAGTTTTAACATTTGATTCATGTTAACACAGGATTCAAGGTTATCTATAATATTCTTTTAGTTTTTACAAAATTTAAGGAAGTATAGAATGAGTTTATTTGCAATATTATTTAAGTTCTGAACTGGGAACTTTAGAATTGGCCCTTAGTCCCGATCCCTTAATCTTGATATCCAATGTGGACGCTTTTAATTTCCTGCTTTATCCGTTCTTTTTTTCTAATTTTAGATATCCCTGCCAGTTTCCGACCAATGAGAGTTCTTAATTAAATTCCGTGCAAATTTTCAAATATCCTGGCTTCTGATTGGCTGTTCAAGATTCTGTTTACGTACTACTGGTTGAATCTACACTTTTCTGGATACAAACTAAGGATTAAATTAATCTTGAGATTAATAAAAAGAGGAGATCCAGCATTGATATCAATATCCACAATTCTGAAGGCATGACACAGGCGGAGGAGGGGGGGGGGCTTTGAGGGATAAGCTTCCCTGGATAAGTAAAAACTGTGATTTCCTGGAGGAATTTCCCCCCCCCCCCCACTGTTAAAAAATATTTAGCCACCCCACATTTGAAAACATTCCTGTATACTCCTCTGAGGCTGAGAAAGACACATTTTCAATTGATACTGTAGAAATTTTATCTTATATGATCATATAGGCTATATACGATCCTTTAGGCTATATAAGATCCTATATTGGCTATATATACTTTCTCCTTATATATATATGATCCTATAGCTAGGCTATATATACTTTCTCCTTATATATATGATCCTATAGCTAGGCTATATGACAATTTAATGACGACCAAAGACTTGAATCTTGGACGCTATATATATATATCGTTATCCTTTGTGGACACTTTAGATTTGAGAAAAAATGCTTGCTCCCTTAATTAAAGATATCCCTGCATGGTAGGACCACCATGGGATATTGAAGAGGAATTGAATTAATCCCTAACTCTTCAAAAGATAGAGATCAATGGTTAATCACGAGATTCACAAAACAAATGTTTTGACTTCATGTATGATAATACGTAGTTCGAGTTTTTTAAACCTTTGAAACAGAGAAGAGGTATTTTTTCCAGCTGTTTTGCCAAATGTTAGTTCAATGTTGAAGAAATTTGTTCAATATGCATTTTCAATGTATTATAATTTGATGTGATTGTTTAGTAGAACATATCTTCGGGGGTTATCAACTTAAATGCAAGGACAGGAATTTCTTAACAAGAAACTACTAAGCACTAATTCGAGAACTGAAGAGGAGGGGGTGGGGTAAGGTTTCAAGTATACCCCTCCCCCCCCCCTTTGCAAATAGTCCTCATCTGAAGACTCTGAGCAATTAATCTTATTAGATCTTTTTAGACATTACAGACCTNGTATTTTTGTGAATCGTAAGTATAGATTTCTTAACATCGTTTTTAGATGGAAAAGTGTTACAATCTTACAATTTTCTTTTTTATGAACCTCTTGAAAATCATCGATTTTTAAATAGTAAAACAAATATAGTTATTCTCATTATTTTCCAGAAGGCTAATTTTCTTGAAGAATATTTATTTTTTCTATATTATGGGATTAATCTGGTAAACTGCATTGGGTCATAATTTAGTTTGCTAAGATTGTAAATATGGTTTACAAGTTGCAGGTTTTTATCTAAATCTGGTTCACAATTTCTGACTTCTGCAAATCTGGTTTTCAAAAGTTTCCGTCTTTGAATTTTCAACAGCTTTTTTCACAGTTTCTTCTAGATTTGTTCCTGTAGTTGTGGAGTTTGCGTGAGATAACAAATATTTAGTTTCGAGTTCACGGGTTTCGAGTTCACGGGTTTCGTCTAGAAATCTGATTCACTTGAGGAACCCTGTAGTCAGCAAATTTCGTCTTAAAACAATTTTAATAAATCTTCCAGGCTTACAATTTGTAAGTTTATTTTCAATCTACGAACATAAATTATATAGGAACCACAAAATTGTGGTTCCTATATAATTTAAGCTCAAATTAAGATTTTCAATAGTCTCACTCAGGGGCGGATACAAGGGGGGCAAGGGACATTCGCCCCCCCTGAATTTGGAATTTTTTGTTCCTTTTTTCAGAATAGCTTCTCAATAGCATGCATAAGGGAAAGAAACCCTAGTGCAAAACAGGAAAAATATCTGTCTTAATAAACTATAATGTGTGAAAAGTTAAAAATCTAGTTTTTTAGTCTTTAGTCATTAATTTTGACTCTTTTTGAGTCTTTTAAGTCAAAAAAAATTTTCGCCTTCGGCACGATTTTTTGTTCCTAATTATTAATTTTTTTGTTCCTAAAAAATCTTGCCCCACCCCTCACTTAAATCCTGTATCCGCCCCTGGTCTCACTGGTCACATAACATGAAAAACACGCAGTGTCACAGACCATTTTACTTGATATTCTGATTTTCAAGATACTGGTGATTGCTGAAATGTTGTCTTCCCATTCTACAGATTCATAGGTCTCGCTGTAATACAAAAAAATATTTTATTTCATATTTTGCCCTTTAAAGGTAGACTAAACTTTAACAAATGAAATTTTCTTTAAAAAATCTAATTTTCTGAGTCTTGTGAGTTTCTATTCTAATAAATAGAAATAAATCCTGAAATCTTGTTGGTCTGGAACTCTAGTACATTTTAGTTGATTTGATGAAATAAAGCATTTAGGGATTAGGAGAAAAGAGAATATTTAAATAGTTTTATTAAATGAAAATTATACCCCGGCGGCAATATTTTTCGGCCTTTTTTAGAAATATTTTTTGTGCTTTATGAATTGGTCCAAGCAAAGGTATGATTAAATACAAAATTTCTTCTATTGTAAACTTAAAATCAATGAAAATTTGTTCACAATCTCTTTTTTAGGGATTAAAGATTTGACCTGAAGGTTTCAGAAACATATTAATGATCTGAAAACTGATCAGTTAAGTAATTGGGTCTGATTCAGCTCAACACTTATCAGGGATAGGCATTTGCCGAAGGAAGTTACGTGCGCTTGCCGCGTAGAATTACAAGAAAGAGAGAGATTATTTTAGGGTAAGGCTGGGTTAAGACACTTTCTGGGCGCAGCGCTGTTGCTAAGACAGGCTCGGGGGCCATGCGCCGCACATTGCACAGGCTCAGATGCCGAGCGCCGCGGCTAGAACGGGCTCTTTCTCTGTTTTATAATTCAACGCGGCATGTGCACGTAACTTCCTTGGGCTTTCTGCCTAAGGGATAAAGATAGATCTGTTAAAGGGTGTCCCACTCCGAACATTACAATAGAAAGACGACTTCAAGGTCGTCTTTGATCATTAAAACTATTTGCGACATTTATTCGGATACCTGATTTAAATAGTAAAAGTCTAAATAATCACTGACTACCCCCTAGTCCTGGCATTTTCATTTTGAAAATTCTGGTTTTATTTAATAAATTGAAATCTGAACGAAACTCGTTGTATCTCCGGTAAAACTAACTGCATAAAAAAGCACAGACCACATATTAGAAATGCCAAGACTATGAGTTTTTTTAATAAATGAAAAATAGACGAATAAATGCTACAAATAATTTCAAAGATCAACTAGAACCTTCGAATTATTAGGAAAACTGACTCAGGTTGCAAAATATTAAGAAGAAATGTCCTTGAGATGATTCCACTTCTCTTTCCCGTTATACTCCTCCTCTTCAAACTCATCATAGTCATCATACTCCTCATCATCCTAATTATTATCATTCTAATCATTATCATCCCAATCATTATCATTCGATCATTATCATGATCATAAATATCCTAATCTTTATCATCCTAATCATTATCATTCTAACTTTTATCATCCTAATCATTATCATAATCATAATTATCCTATTCATTATCGCCCTAATCATTATCATCCTAATCATTATCATAATCATAATTATCCTAATCATTATCATCCTAATCATTATCATTCTAATTATTATCATCCAGATGATTATCATCCTGATAATTTTCATCCTAATCATTATAATCCTGATCATTATCATCCTGATCATTATCATCCTGATCATTATCATCCTGATCATTACCATCCTGAAAATTTTCATCCTAATCATTATCATCTTGATCATTATCATCCTGATCATTATCATCCTGATCATTATCATCCTAAGCATTATCATCCTGAGCATTATCATCCTGAGCATTATCATCCTGATCATTATCATCCTGAGCATTCTCATCCTGAGCATTATCATCCTGATCATTATCATCCTGAGCATTATCATCCTGAGAGCATTATCATCCTGATCATTATCATCCTAATCATTATCAATATGAAATTATCATCCTGCTCATTATTATCCTAATTACAATCATCCTAATAATTATCATCATTAAGATCCCTAATTAAAACCTTCCATAACCATCCAAAGCTGTCTGAAATCAGCCAATTCAGTACCTTGTTTGCTACATGGAAGCGTAGGCAATAGATATCTTTTTTAAAACTTCTGTAAAATTCGTGACGTGATTCCCTTTTTCATTAAATCTTCAATAATAGCATAGTTTACCTCATCGTCATCAAGCTCAGTATAGGGTCTCATATCCTCTCTCATACTTGTCCTTATCAAAATAATCATTATAATAATAATAATAATAATAATAATAATAATAATAATAATAATNATAATTATAATAATAATAAAATAAACGTTATTTTTTAAATGGGATTCGAGTCAGCCCAAAAACTGTCCAGAGACAGTGGACCTAACTAAGTATGAAAAATCTAATTAAAAGGAATTGAGTTTTTGCCACAAATTCTGATTTTCTAATCTCCATATCTTTGTAATCCGATGTCCTAGACCTTAGTTATTTCAAACTACGAATTTCTCAAGATAAAATAATCTAAGTTTGAAAGATCAAAGGTTTGCACCATCAGGTTGCAAAGATATTGGGATCAGAAAATTTAAATTTGTGGGAAAAACTCAATTCTAAAACAAATTATTACTCACCATGCGTCCATTTTGTGTGATTTCCAAAGGTTCCTTGTTTGCCCACTGTGAAGATCTGCTTCAAGATCAAGAGAGAATATTTTACATTTTCCTTTATTTTCTTCTTCCTCTTCATTCCTCTTCTTCCCTCCTTTATCCTTCTTCTCCTCTCCTTCCTTCTCCTGTATTCTCTCCTTGGCCCGCCTTGTATCTCGTCTTTGCTCCAAAACACGGCGAACTAGAAAATATTTATTTATTTTCTGTAATTTTAACTTTTATTACTTATTCTTACTTTATTAAGGTTTAAGTAAAGACTATCAAGCCCCCACCCCATTTAAATAATGCCATTTCCAATTCTCAACGGCAATCTTTAAATACAGATTTCTCCGACGTCGATGATCAAATAAAGGTTTACTGAAGAGTTTCTTGAATTTAAAAAAACATTAAAAGTTTCATTGTCTCTAAAATAATGTTGCATGGGAATTAGATTTATAGATTTACTAGCTGAAGGGCACGGCGTTGCCCGTGAAAAAAAATTTTGAAAAAAATATTTCGAATTATTTTAGCCTATAACACCCCCCGGCAACCCATAAGTGTCCTCAAAATATTTCAGCCCAGCTTTTAAATTGTTTGAAAATTCATGTACAAAATTTAGAATATTATAAAAAAAGCCTGATTACAATTGATAACTTACGTTTTTTTGTCTACGCAAAGTAAAGAAGTAAAAAGTTGCTGCAGAAATTATAATTTTATTATCCTCATATTTTTACAATCTTTTGTTGTGATGAATTCTGTTATAGAAAAATAGTTTGTTTAAAATTTCAAAGTTTATACTAACAGGTTACAAAGATAAGGGGATTAAAACATTAGATTTTTTAGCGGTTAGTGTCGGTTAAAAATAAACAACAGCCCAACACAATGCTATGATTTTGTAAATATAAAAAATAAACAACAGCCTAACACAATGCTATGAGTTTGTAAATATAAAAAATAAACAACAGCCTGCAACACAATGCTATGAGTTTGTGCATATAAAAAATAATATTTTGTTCCTGCTGGGAAACATGATTTTGTAGTTGAATTCTTTCATGGCTATTAAATTATTCTATAAATATCTAGTTGAGAGGGATTTTATACATATTAAACCTCAAAACTAAACCGTCATGCAATCCAGTAATAATATGATTAGAACGTTCATGTAACTTTTTCCAGGTTTTAAATTAAATCTATTTCTCCTATCCATAATTCAACAAGGAACTGGGAAAATAAACTTGGTATAACTTTGTAGTTTCTCGTAAACAATGGCTAAAATAAATTAAGATATGGAATCAAGATATCCGTCTTGTAACAACGAATTCCCTTGAAAATTGAACAAAGTATGAACAATATCCGGTTGTTAAAAGATATTTGATTACGTATTAAAAAAAAATTTTGTTCAGTAATAACACAATTTAAAGAAAATATTGAAAAATAAAGAAATGGACGCTATTCAACGGTTCGAAATGCATCTTTTGATGTTTTTTCCTTTCTATGAATAGTTATACCCTTACCAATTTAGTTAGGGCTGAATGCATAAACATAAAAGAATCCAATTGGTTTTGAATTTAAATTTTTTTTGGCTTCATTGTATGATTGGGTTTTTGGTTGGTTTGTATCTAATGAACATTAATACCACTTCAAAGTGCGGTTAGGACCATTTTTTATGTGTTACTTTACAATCACATGAATTCTGAAAAAAAGATTAGCTTTATTTGAATTTGAAAATTCTCTTGGAACTTTTGAATGGTGGATATCAGGATTAATGCTTGATCTCCTCTTATTCTTAATCTCCAGAGCTGAAAACTTTAGAATGGGATATCCTTAATCCTGATCGGATAATAAATCTGGAGAATAAAAATGAGAGGAGAACAAGCAATATTTAATCTCGAGATTAAGAAAAAGAGTGGATTAAGCATTGATCCCGATATCCACCATTCTAAAGTTTTCAGCTCTGGTTAATAAACAGATCGAGAATCGAGATTAAGGATGATCCCATTCTAAAGTTCCAAAATCCGAAAATCCACGAAATTTGTATTGTTAAACTTTACAATGTTAGAAAATTAAGGCTTGATAAATGATGATGGATCACTAAAACATAAAATTGAAAGATTAATTTGCTAAAACTCTTGCTATTGAGGAATTTTAGATTTTTTAGGGATATTTTGCTGATGTTTTTGTTGAGATCATGTTAATGAGAACAGATTTTTTCTAAATTAAATGCCAATTACAGGGAACTAACTGTGAGGGAAAAACATGTTTCAATTATTACATCTGTTTCTGAAGGACCATTACTTTTAGTGTAATTATTTTTAATTAGAAACTATAATTTCGAAACCTTCATTATATTTTATGACTTTAACCTACATTTTTTTTGACAAATAATTAACGTTTGTTTAGAATGGAATCAGGGTCGCTTATAGGTATTTGTTCTTTTTCCAGGAGGGGTGTTAAAACTCAGCAGCTTTTTTTCCAGGGTGTTAAGCTTAGCAGCTCTTTTTCCAGGGGGGGGTGGGATTCGAGTCAGCCCAAAAACTGTCCAGAGACAGTGGACCTAACTAAGTATGAAAAATCTAATTAAAAGGAATTGAGTTTTTGCCACAAATTACTGCTTAGCAGCTCTTTTTCCTCTGAAAACCATAGATAGAAAAGTGATGTGAAGCCGGAAAAAAAAGGATATTTTAAATGCTTAATTGTATGTTTCATTCTTACAATTGAGTTATATAAAATATTTGATCTTTCAGAAGATATGTTTGCTATTTGATGAGATGTGTTAAATCTTTGTTGAGATTTCTTTGATCTTTGTTGTGATATCTTTGGTCTTTGTTGAGATATGTTATTTCTTTGTTGAGATATGTTTGCTATTTGTTGAGATATGTTTGGTCTTTCTTGAGATATGCTTTATACTTGTTGAGATACTTCTTTAATGCCGTGATAAGTTTGTTCTTAGTTTGGATAAATTTGCTCTTTGTTGAGATAGTTTTTGTTCTTGTTGAGATATGTTTGCTCTTTGTTGAGATAGTTTTGGTTCTTGTTGAGATATGTTTGCTCTTTGTTGAGATAGTTTTGGTTCTTGTTGAGATATGTTTGGTTTTTGTTGAGATGTGTTTGCTTTTTTTCTAGAAAAGTTGGTTATTTGTGGTGATAAGTTTGTTTGTTATTTGTTGAGAATGGTTTAGTTTTTCTTGAGATATATTTGCTATTTGTTGAGATATGTTTTCTCTATGTTGAGATAAAATATAATTCACCAAAATATAAATTTAAAGGAACGTTCACCTAATAATTATTAAATAATATAAATTTTTATTTTAAAATATTTGTGTAAGTATTTATAGAATGACGAAACACATTGAAGCAAATTGTTAAAATGTATGTCTATAGAATTCAATCCTATTTCTACCTTTAATCTTTCTGTATTTCAAGTTTCAATGATTTGTGAAATAGAGTTCTAAACTTTTCAGAATTACTTCGAATAAAAAATGTGCAAAGGTTGACGGAGATGAAAATGTAAACAAAAATTGTTCTTTTCTTCTTTTTCGAGACTCAATTCGATTTAATTTCAAATGTCTGAACATACCTATGTTTTGGCTTCGAACATAACTAGGATTAGTTTTAACATACTTAGTTTGAAGTTTAGTTTTGAACATCCCAACTACTTAGTGTTTGGTTTTTTGCCATACCTATGTTTGGTTTTGAACATACCTAGGTTTGTTTTTGAACGTACCTAGGTTTGTTTCTGTAGGTTTTGTTTTGAACATACCGAGGTTTAATTTTGAACATTTTTGGGTTTGCTTTTGAACATACCTAGGTCAGGTTTTGAACATACCTAAGTTTGTTTTTAACATACCTAGGTTTGTTTTTAACATAAATAGTTTTTTTCAACAAACCTAGGTTTGGTTTTGAACATACCTAGGTTTTGTTTTAAACATAAATAGATTTTTTTTCAGCATACCTAGGTTTGGTTTTGAACATACCTAGGTTTGGCTTTGAACATGACTAGGTTTTTCTTAACATACCTAGGTTTGGTTTTGAAAATACCTAGGATTGTTTTCAACATACCTAGGTTTTGTTTTAAAAATACCAAGGTTTGGTTTTGAACATAACTAGGTTTGGTTTTGAAAATACCTAGGTTTGGTTTTAAACATACCAACGTTTTTTTAACAAACCTAGGTTTCGTTTTGAACATACCTAGGTTTGGTTTAAACTTACCTAGGTTTGGTTTTGAACATACCTAGGTTTGGTTTTAACATACCTAGGTTTGGTTTTGAACATACCTAGGTTTGGTTTTGAACATACCTAGGTTTGGGCTAAACTTCACGTTTTGAACAACTCTGCGTGCTAGAGATGGGGATCGCCATGGAATGTATTTTCTGTCATTTCCCGCTACTGGTTCAGATTCAGATTCTTCGGCCGACGAATCGTCTGAATCCTCGTCCGCATTCTCCCTCAAACTCTTCCAGGGACCACCTAGAGTTTTGTAATACAGTGAGAGACTATTTGTATATCTAATATTATTATTATTATTATTGTTGTTGTTGTTGTTGTTGTTGTTGCAAGTAAAAAGACCCTCAGGGAAGGTTTATATGGACGGCAAAATTTTAAATTTTTAATTTCAAAAGAATTTAAAAAGAATGGTAAATGGCAATTTGTTTTTAGATGATGGGTGCGAAGCGCCCTCTCATTTTTAATTTTAAATAGAAAGATCACATTTCATAGCTAACAGTTCATACAAAGAGAAAAATGTTTAGATGGATTAGGTAAATCAGTTCATTTTTTTTTGTTTTTCGATTTTGATTTGTTATTTGAAGCATTTTTATAATTTTCACAGAAAAAAAAGAAAACTTGAATCTTCCATTTTATTAAAAATAGATACGCAAGTCATATATGATAGCTAGATAGCAATTTTTAAAGAGAGAATAATTGTATAAGATCAATCGATTTCTCTACGCCTTTTCTCTTTACAAATTTTCCTCTTTAAAAGAAGTTTATGCCCATAAAAATGTCTAAATAGCTTTTAAATTTATACAAATGATTTTGTTACATGTTCCACAGGTTCATCTATGAAATGTCATTTCATGAAATGCCATTTTCCCAACATCAATGAGAGAGAAATATAGGTGAGAGAAAAGGTTTAAAATCGCATTTACAACTAATTACGCGAAAAATGAACTGAGTTCTTGTAACAAACTCTTTGCAACCCATTGTCATTTGATTTGATATTTGATATTTTAAACTATGATTTATGTTAGATCAATTAATCAATGTTTAAATATCAAAGCTTAACATCATCAGGTTGCAAATATATAGGATTAGAAAATTGGATTTGTGATAAAAACTCAGTTTCTTAAGGTTTAACGCAAGGAGCAAGAAAGGCAACCAAAACTCGATTACTTATTCTTAATGAGTATTTTGTTTTTCTTTGTAATTATCTCATGAATTTGATTGAATTTTTTTGTTTACCTTAAAGCATATGTTCAATTGATCAAATATAATTTTATATTAAGGGAAATTTGAGCATTGTGTGTTTGTAATTCAATTTTATCAAGGAATTTAATCTTTTGTATTATTTTATCCATTTTATCTTAAAGGGAGTGTTTGCGAAAAATGAAAGGGGATCTAGGTACGGCGAAGAAAAATCGCTTTTGATCGCTACTAATCTTACTTCTATCTGTTGTGTCTATAAGGAGAAAATTGTTAAAAACGACTTGTAAAAAAATCAATTTCATATCAAACAAATCATTTAGATATTGAAACCTATAATCATCGAGTATTGTTCGACGCATTCGTATATAGTTAATATTTCATGACTTTTGTTACTTGTTTTATATACAATGCACTTAAAACGACGTGGTGTCTGCCACGTGTAATCATTCAAAGCATCGAGAGCAGAGACACCTGGCGGCCAACTATTTCGGCGTTTTAAGTACATTGTATACTAAAAAAAAAATATAGTATAGACGCATCAATTAGAAGTAAGATTAGTAGCGATCAAAAGTGATTATTTTTCGCCATAAGCCTATACCCCCTTACATTTTTCGCAAAACGCTTCCTTTAAGTTTACATCATCTCAGTTTTTAATAAGATTTTACCTTTGACTATAACTCCACTTCTGTTTGGTAACTTTTCTACGCATTTTTTCATAATTTTTTCCATTTCTTTGCAAATATGATTTTACTGAACATTTTTGTTTTGTTTACCATCTGATGATTTATGAATTATTTAAAAACAAATTAAAGTTCATAACCTCCAATTGAAGAGTGTCATAATTGATTTTCAATTGGTACCGTAGATTGGTAATTCCTGGTAAATTCCTGGTAAATTCCTGGTAAATTCCTGGTAATACAAAGGAAAAAGAGTGAAGTAGTTTATCGTTTATAACACTCTTTGATGGACTTAGTTAACAGTCCCTTTAATGCTATGCTGTTATTACAGACGTGACATGAATATATATTTGTAAGACTCAATTTCTTTTGAAAAGATGATGAAAAACCTAGATCTGATACACTCAACAGAAGCCAGTTGGGCTTCAGCTCCGGCATCATGGAAACCCCCAAACCAAACCAGAGTTCTGCTTCAACCAAACCAAACCAGAGTTCTGCTTCAACCAAACCAAACCAGAGTTCTGCTTCAACCAAACCAAACCAGAGTTCTGCTTCAACCAAACCAAATCAGAGTTCTGCCTCAACCAAACCAAATCAGAGTTCTGCTTCAACCAAACCAAATCAAAGTTCTGCTTTAACCAAACTAACCCGGAGTTCTGCTTCAATTAAACCAAAACAGAGTTCTGCTTCAACCAAACCAATAGAGAGTTCTGCTTCAACCAATTATTGCACATCTTCTTCGGACATCTTTAAAAAAAAGGAGTCGTTTCATCAGAATTAATGTGCATAAATATTTAAGATTATGACAATAAATGATTTTTTATAGAAATTATGAATTATAAAATTCAAAAAAATTAAACTTTGTATAAAAAATATCCAAATATTTAAGAATTGTACAATGAAGAATTATATATATATATTTCTGTTTACCGTGAGTCAAGGTGAAAACTTTTAATTGTATTCTGAGAATACCGAGTACTCTCTGCTCACCTCCCGTCTTTCTTCTGAAATACAGAAATCCGTTTAACATAACAACTACCCACTACAGAAGCATATCAGTGAACATACACCATTTTATATTAATCTATATTCTTAAAGTTTAAAATTTATCTTTTTTAATGATAATGCACTGTGATCTTACCAGGCTACATTTCTTGCAAAAAATGTGCTTTTGATTCTACTCTGGCTGGACGGTACGACTAAATGCATATACAGTACATATTGTACCGGCACGGATCATGTAACTTGTTACTAGAAATGATAACAACAGACAAGACAGACCACCATTGGGAATCGTTTTGGATTATTTCCATAATAATTCCAGTGAACATCTCATTTTTAGGACAATTGGCGCGTCTTTTCTATTGATAATAATTTTCATCTTTATTTACAGACATTTTTCTTTTGTACATTTTTAAGCAAAAACAACAAAATGTGAAAATTTTCCTGATTTTCTATTTGTTGTTTCGTACAGTTTTTAAAATTATTTTTTGAGGAGGAGGAGGATGTTTTAAATTCTGAGTAGTCATTAAAAAAGTCAAAAACAGATAAAACAAATTAATTATTGATTTACAGAAAAGTTCTGCAGGAACCTTGTTTTAATTTGTTACGGATCTATTCCATGTTTATTAAGGGGAGCATTCGCGCCAAATTTTTTCCTTTTTTTAAAATTCTCTTTGCAATATTTCTTTTGGAAAACTTAAAAGAAAACTATAAGGATGTTTAAACAAAAGTTTGAAAGTCAAAGATGAGAAAATACCAGTTGTCATAACAAAAATAGATTTTAACATATTAAAAGGAAAAATAAATTACAAACTTTAAATTGGAAAGAATTATTCTAGGGGGGGGTATTTACCCCCAGGATTCTAGGGGGGGGTAAATAACCCCAATAACCCCCCTTATTTACGCCACTGCCTGGCGGCCAACTATTTCGGCGTTTTAAGTACATTGTATTCTAAAAAAAATATAGTATAGACGCATCAGTTAGAAGTAAGATTAGTAGCGATCAAAAGTGATTATTTTTCGCCATAAGCCTATACCCCCTTACATTTTTCGCAAAACGCTTCCTTTAAGTTTACATGTTCTCCTCTTGTTTTTAATCTCCAGATTAATTAACCCGTCGGAATTAAGGATATCCCATTCTAAAGTTTTCAGGTGGTATAAACCTTTAATATTTCAAACTTAGATTATTTCACATTTGATCTATCAGAATTCTCTCAGGTTTAAGACCTTGGGTTGCAAACATGAAGGGAATAGAAAATCAGAGTTTGATGCAAAGACTCAGTTCATTATTGCCATTTTCATAAAATCATGGAATTATTCAAGATTATTGAAATGATTGTTTCTTGGTTTTTTTGAAAGGCTTCAAAATGTCTTAAAAAACAATTTTACAAAAAATTTGACGGATTTCTTTAATTTTATTTTCCAGATTTCACTTTGAAATTTAGAATTTGAATAATTATTCATGAATAGAACATGCAGTCCAGAATTCTTAAATCTGAAAATATGTAAATAAAGAGAAGAGGGTAAAATACATTGACCCTGCCTACATATTTAAATGGTGACCAAAGATTGAGAGCATCTATTTTAAATATAAAAAACTTCTCAGTGATTTATTTTGGGACCTCACAAAAATAAATTTGAAATGTGTAATTACTCTACTGAGATGATATTTTCCTATACGTCAGGCACCTCTGACCCTTTAGTAAAAGTAAATTCAACCTAAAGTCTGACCGCGTCAACCTTGATGCACCGGCTAGTCCTATTTGTGTGTCTGCTTTATTTACCCAATGTCCGGGCGATACAGTACAAACTGGTTGACCTGGATCGGAAATTCAAATGTACTACAGCTGCCCGTGACTTAAAATTGCGTTTATGACCTATTTTTTTTATATAATTCTTGGTATAGATAGTGAGGACAAAAAATAAACGCTCTGAAATCTAAAGAATCAAAATTTTGTGTACAGAGGAACATGTAGTATTTGTAACGAGACCTAGAAAACCATTTATTGAAATGATGAAAATATCCTCGATTATCTATTTAAATTTCTAAATGTGCTCTCTCTAAAATATGGATTTTATCCAGTAGAAACAAAGAACGTAATTTACAGAATTAAACAATTAAGAACTCACAAAAATATGACATTCATACATTTATTTATGCATACATATATAACCATTAAGTATGATAATTCAAAGAAGACTGTATTTTACTGGTATTTTGTATTTTTTAGTTTTTTCAAAAACCTCCAGTATATTATTTTTGGGCTGTTTTCTAAATAGAAAACCAAATATTGCTATATTTTTTATCATTGTTCAATATATAATCTACAATGTATAGATGTTATGTTATATAGAAATGCACCCCATTAGAACAAATCCTTACGTTGTGTTAGATCTACAATTGATATAATTCTGTTAAACATATCAAACACTGAGTTGGCTAAATGGTTTTCTAACAATCTGTTAAAATTGACTAGCACTGATTACTTCTCATTGGCTGTATGATATATATTGGTGATTGCTTCTAATTAAAGAGAGGAGAACTTTTAAACAGTAAAATTACACGTTGAATTATACAGGAACAAATCAAAGATGTACTTCTAACTTCCCAAGGATATTTTCCCAAGTGGCAACTTCCCAAATGTGCAATTTTCCAAGAAGTAACTTCACAAGGTCTTAGTCGCAGTCTTTGACTCCCTATAGCCTATTCTAGCTGAAGCGCTCGGCCTAACCTAACCTTTGGGAAGTTGCTGCACTTGGGAAGTCACCCTTGGGAAAATGCCTTTGGGAAAATAACTAAGACTAAATCAAATACACTTCTTAAATTGAAACTCATGTATTGTAGATATCGAGATAAATGCTTGATTATAATCTTTGGTTAATCTGCAGATTAATTTAATCTTTATGGTATTCGTACCCTGAAAGGGTTACATGAAATCAAGAGATTAAGCATTGATCCTCGAATTAAAAGTCCCCGCAGAAAATATCGAGATGAAGTGAGTAGGATTATGAGTATCCATCATCAAAAGTTCCCAGCTATGGAAAACTATGTCTGGATACCCCCCCCCCCCCCTCCCATTTGGCAATAGATATTCTATGCCAAACTTAATTAAGTTATATTATTACATATTATACATAAATACTCTGTTGCCATGATATATACAGATTTAAATTGTTGGCATATATAAATCAAAAAAAGTCAAAATAAAAACTTTCGTAATAAAGAATTTTCTTTAACGAGAAATTAATTGTATCTTTTTGAGTTTTCAAAAAAAAAGATGCGACCAAAAATTATTTTGAATCTTATGCATCGAATTTCGATCCTCAATAAGGTAAAGAAAATATTGCGGTGAATATTTTACTGTCATTTTTATCTTTATCATTTTTACTTGTGTTTGATGTATTGTTGATTATAAATAGTTTTGTCAATCTAAAGATATATCTGACATAATATGTATTTTTGGCAGGAGCTCACAACAAGAACTATTGTTCTCTTGGCAGAACAAACAAATGTTAAATACTGGAAATTCAGAAAGCTTTGCGGCACCTCTTTTAAAGCAACAAAGGAAATGAGTGTTTGCCACAAACTCCAATTACCCAATCCCTCTATCTTTGCAACCTTATGGTGTAAACCTTTAATATTTCAAACTTAGATTATTTGATCTAACATAATTCACAGTTTGAAATATCAAAGGGCTATGACATAGATATAGGGATTAAAAAAATCAGAGTTTGTGGCAAAAACTCAATTCCTTTGAATCTATTTTTAGCGCATCAAACATTATTAGCATTCAAACCAAACCCATTTCATGGACAATATCTTCCGCATTAATGATCAGAAAAATATTTAAAGGGTGCCGCTGTGAGTTGGACATACCACTCTTTAAAGGGTCGTTTGAAATTACAATCCATTTTGTTGAATTAGGATCAAATATAACTTTTATAAGTCTGAACAGTATAAAATATAATGACACAACGGAACCTTTCTTTTTTCTATTTTCTAATATTGAAAGAATAATTTCATAATGTCAAAAGTATAAGGAAAACAATTTTCTCTTTTCTTATGAAAAAATTGTTACATCAGAATCTGTAAAAGACGGGAGTGTATATTGTTGGTGTTGATACGATAATGCATACTCAATTTTCTCAACAATACAGTACTGTACAGCATAACAGTACAGTACAGTACAGTACAGTACAGTACAGTACAACAGTACAATACAGTAATGTACAGTATAACAAAACAGTACAGTACAGTTTTTAAATTCAATAATAGATAAAGAGAAAAAAATAGATGCAAATATACAAATGACATCAGAATACCTTATTAGTGCCACAAGGGCGACATGTTTCAGGTACAGTGGTAGGTGATTAAAACAATAAAGACGACAATTCTATTTAACTTTTGATAGTTAACAAGCTTTTACAAGTTTACAAGTTTACAGGTAATCAAAAACAGCTTCTTTTTACTAATATGTTTATGTGTATCCGTGCTCAGTGGCGTACATAGGGGTGCAAAATACA